TATATATATATATATATTCAGTGAAGGGGACACTGTCTGTATTTAATCTACATTTGTTATATTCTAGCAATATTTTTTTTTAATTTCGAATCCACTAATGTCTGACACTATTCAATGCTTTCTTTTTCAGGTATACGTTATTTTCATACGCCCTTTTCTGAAACTTTCTCATTTGCTATTTCTTCACCGTTGGTGCTTGCCCCTGTGCTTGCGCATACATTTGAATTTTCTATTGCTATGCCGTCCGACATTTTGCAATTTTCTGATTCATTCGTGACGTCAGTATTGTCGATAGCAATAGACCTACACGAATCCTCTACAATCTCATTTTCGACCACCTTCCCCTCAGTCGGGACAATAATAACACTGGGCTTTCCTGCTTCCACAGCAACATAATCATTGTCATTAGTCCTATAATCAGTACGTTCAATGTTCTCTGCGTCCAGAATATTAGCTGTCTCGCTCACTGTTTCATCTGCTGTAGGCCTACATCCAGAATGTTCATGCACGTCGACGGCCGACATACTGCTCGCCACCGGTTGCCGTATCCGTATGTCTAATTCCGTGTCGCAACTAGTTTGTGCGCCATGCTCACTTATTTCTTCATCCTTTTCATCACTCTCCCTATCCTTCAAAATTTCAGATTTCATGGAGGTATTGATTTCATCATTGTCTACGCTCTTTCTAATGATCATTTGATGTTCAAAAGTTTTGTTAACATGCGGTATCTTATCTTCAAGGTCTAATCCTCCGTTTGACGAACTTTGATTTTCTCCATCGAACGTTTCACTTTGATTTGATTCACAATATTTCGCATTATTTATACGATATTCGTATTTCATATCAGATAGACCTATTCTTTCAAAATCAGTTGTCTTCAATTTCGTACATAAATTTTCATCATCGAATGGCGTTTTGTTGATTCGTACCTGATTCGCAGACTCGCCCTCGTCGTGTTGCTCTTTTGTTTCCAGCCTGGGACTATCTTGAGATTTAACTGATTTTAAATCCACAGAGATGCCCTTTAAATGAAAATCTAACTCGCTTGTTGCTGATGAACTTTGAAGTTCGTTCACTTGTTGACGCGACTCATCGTCCTTATGAGTCAACATAATTTTTCCTTTCAAGCTTAATCCTTTTGCGAGGATCCCTTTCCTCTCTTGGATGCGTTTGTTTTTCTCTTCATCACGAACTAGTTTCACTTCAGGAAAAAATTGTTCCTTGGTGACTTTGGAAAGTGGTGGCGAAATAGCACGTTTGTTCCTCTGGATAAATTTTGTCGGTGGTTTCTTCGGACTGTTCGGGTCAAAGTTGTTTGCTTTTTTGCCTTCTCTGAGCGACAATTCACCTTTCGTCATGTAGTGAATCATTTGCACTGGCTGTTCTCCAATCTCAGGTGGCAGCGGAATGTTGGATTTCATGCTCAGATAATGTGGAAATTTAAAGCAACTATTTTCTTTTCGTTGAACTTGAAGGTGTTTCACCAGCTCAACTGCAACTGTATATTCGGCAGGTGACCGTTTCGTATTTTGCGCACGCGCAAGCGTGTTGTGCACCACTGACATTCGTTGATTTGCAACGCGATGAATCTCAGATGTGTCGTAATTCATTGGTTTTAATTGCCGAAACGGTCTGTCCGGGGGCCGTCTTAGTACGCCTCCTGTCCCACGGGGTATTTCTGTAACGATCAGATTTAGCGCATCATTAAATCGGCTCTTTCTTAAAATCGGTTCATTTGCACTGAAGTGCGAGTCCCTTTCGTAATTTTTAAGCCCAGGAAAACTCCGTGATAAACTACCTACTTTAAATCGTCCAGTTGCACCGCTCTCGAACGGTATACCGTACGGTCCAATAGCAAATTTATCGCAGGCTTTTGGCACTGAATATGTACTGTATGGACGACATACACGCTCCTTAAGTCGTCTTTGTGTACCAGTTTGTATTGTGTTCATAGTTATTTTGTTCCTACCGTTAAGTGGCGCAAATGCCATGTAACCGTCAGCCTCTGCCACACCTGATGGGCGGGAGCGTCGCCGTACAATTTTCACCATTTTCCGTTGGTGTTCATCAGATCGGTTCGGAGTAAAGGTCCTGACTGGAGGATGGTAGCAATTTTCAAATGTAACACCACCGATACCATCATTGCAATATCCATCAAAATCAAAAAGACGTTTGTTATTCGAGTCCTCACTGTAAGCTACTGAGCTATCCGGCCTCCAATCCTTTTCACTTCTTGTCACAAAATAAGCAATTTCTTTGGTATTCTCAACAACCTTATCTGACCCTGGTGGGCTAGCAGCCCGTGTTGGCACCTGACAGCTATCCATAGAAGTAATAAACGGTCCTACGTCCTGTGTAACGGCATCTATTACAATCCAGACAGATGATCGGAATAAATTACTGTACTATTATCTGACGTCATTAACAGAAACTAATCGTCTGCAAACAACACAACACCACATTATACACATCAAGTGTAAATTACTGTTTTTCCAAAACAACTTTGATAAAACACAGTTGATGTCTACTAACTCTTTTCTTCAGACAGTTCTTGTGATCTATTATCCGGTTGGTTAATTTTTAATGCCCATGAACAAACAACGATGAATAGCATTCAACAGATAAGAGTACAGTGTTAGCATAACAATAAAAACATGCCAGGGTAACCAATCGTTTCTCTGTTTACCCTCTTTATTTAAGGAAAGGTACGTTTCGATACGATAGTGCAGGCCTAGTTCGATTGCATCACATGGGTGATTTTAAAAAACATGTCACGTACCAGGGAGCAGTCATACTACAATACTGCTCCCTGCGTACCAAACATTTAAATGCGAACGGAGTCCATTTATGATTTACCGAAGCCGGCGGCGGTTTTATAGACGAATGCAATTTAACAGTAGCAAAGTGGTGGGTGTATGCACAAATAGTGTAGATCGATTCGGTAGCCGTAGCTAGAGCTCTAAAGCAAATTAAGCCAAAAGTAAACGGTAAACCACTGAGATATAGCCATAAAGCAAATATTAGATTATAGAGACAGAGCGGTCTGTAAATGTTACTGTGGGAAGAAACGTGAAGCTCGGGACATCTAATACCCTTTACGAGTCACCTGTTTTTATTGCATTAAGAAAGGTGTAATATGAGCAGTATTAGACGTGTCCTACAAGCGTCAAATACAGACCGACTGGGAGTGTGGGGATTACGAAGTGTAAGGTTCGGTGGTACGGTATTTAAAGGCCTTAGTAATATTGATGTCTCCAGACAGTTTAAAATGCATTGTGTTTTTGGTTACCATGGAAACATTTTGAAGTACTGTACAGATATTGAATTAAAAAGTTCGCGTCAAACATTTGGAAAAGAACCTTCAAAATCGCTCATTTAAAACAATCACATTAAGTTATAACCTTTCAATAAGACACAAAAATAAACAATATTTTACATACATCTACCAACGAAAATCCTTAAATTTACTGTCAGCTGTTTTAAGGGTCCATACAGAATACAGTACTGCATTGTATTATTCAAGCGTCCGTTTGTCGAGCAAAACTTTTGTGTTCTTTTTAGTTGAAGCTAGTACTGTAGCATTTTGAACATTTAAAGGAAGCAATTCATTTTTTTCATTAGATGGCAGTATATTTTAACTTAAGTGTAAATACTGTTTTCAGTTGAACATTTGATTGAATGAGACATATATTTTCATGGCTGATTATGAAATAATTATATCGTTCTAATATTTATTGGATAGGGTAACATTGGCTGGGAATAATCAAGAAAGCACTGTACAAAAAATTTTTTTAAAACTGTATATATATTCCAATAAAAATGAACTACGAATTACTGTACAATCAACTTTAAAAAAAAAGAAAACGTAAGCCCGAAACAGGATTTAAACTCAAGATCTGTTGATTACCATTTGGATACTCTACCAACTGAACTATGAGACCAAATGGTATACACCCTTTGATTTTCCTATTAGGAGACTTTCTTCACAAGGAAAGGTAGTGTGTACAATAATATGCAATGAATTATATCAAATTCAAATGATAGTAACTTTAGGATGGAGAAACTCCTCTATTCTAGCCATAATTAAAGTTGATAAACATTTGAGAAAGACGTACAACTCCTTCAGAATTCAAACCCAAGACCTTTCAATTATTCAATTCAATTTTTTTTATTTTTATTATCTACAAATGATCAAGTCGAGAAATGGGACTACCAATGAATAACCACAAACACAGTTCATTCTCACCCTATATTACTTTAATTTTACAAGTAAAAAAAAAAGCTCTGAATACTATATCAAATTTCATTAAATCTTCCATTGGAATCACCAGGTACTTTGAATATAATGTACATCAATATTTAACCTATCTTTATTTGTATTTACTTTTCCTATTGTTTATAACAATGTTATACATTGTCGATGGAAGTAAATATTTTGTTGAAATGTCATCACACCTTCTTAAATTTTTTATTACAGTACAGTATTTGTACCTGCCTCTATTGATTCACAATATTATACAATCTTCAAATTTCATACTAACAAATTGGTGTGATATCGCTGATTCAGTAAAATACCAATATATTGAAAATATACACGTTTGAAAAAAAAAAAACAACTTTTGTAGTTTCTATAATGTTAATACCACAGTTATTAATCTAAGTTCATTAATATTAATATTTAAACTAAATTTCATAAATTTTTATAGATAATTTTCTGTAAAAATTAAACAACACATGTAGACAAATTCTTTCTCACAATACCAACAAAACCAAATCAATGACTACAATATCTAAAAAGAAAACGATCAAATAATTATAGGGTGAGAATTATTCCTTTTTTAAACACTGACACTATTCAGATCATATGTAGTAATTTACATATTTACATGACACCCGCATATTTACATACTGGATGTAAATAGACAGGCTGAGAAACTTCATTTGTTTAAAATGCTATTCCACAGTGAGCTAGTATTTGTTGAAAATAGGTGAGTTCCATACAGCTGAGCTGGTTCTCTTTAAGTATCGCGTTCTTTTCTTTTGGAAAACTTTTGTGAGATCTGGAGGTTCTATTGGGCCGAAAATCTTATCCAAATTTATAGGGAATCGAATTTGGTGGATCAAGTGAGACCTTAGTGCTGCACCTGTAATAAAGAAACAAAAATTGTTTAAATTTCATCTCATAACACTTTGCATATGGTGTTTTACATGACTTTTTTACACCTAAAAATTAGTTTATCAAATTCCAACCCCTTGTAACCAATACTGATGTCCAAAACCCATTTTTGCAGCATCCATTCTTTCATTTCCTACCAATGTATATAGCACACAGCTTACCTTGGGCCCATGATGGTACCTTCTTCCTTGGACGTTCTTCATCATCAGTAGAATCCTCACTATTGATGTCATCAATACAGTAATTTTCCTCTGTCGACGGTTTGTGAACTCTGAAAACATAAGTGAAGTTTTGTATAATGAAGTCAGTAAGTGAACTATGGAGAACTAGGCCCCTGCAGGCCTAATTCTCCATAGTTATACCCACTATATGTCACATAAACAAACCTTGCGGAATGGGTCTATTTGTAAATAAGCACTGTTCTCAAATAAGCACTTAATTTTGAATAAGCAGCGCACTAAAGGTGCAGGGCTTCTTTAATCAAGTATGCATAGATGTGTTGGACAGTGCATTGATATGTTTTAAATATGTGTTCTTAAAAGAATAGCATATAGAAAGGTATTACAGAGGAAGTATTGTAAATTGTTGCATACCTTTGGGGTGTAAGTTCGTAAGACTGTGGTGACTGCATTTCAGGATCCTTGGTGACGGTAGTGTTGAGGGCAGTGTTGTTGGTACTCAGTGGTTGCTTTATTTTTGGTGTACCAGTAGCATCTATTTGCTGCTTCTCTTTCATCATCATCTGTTTCAAATGTTCTCTTTCCTTTAGAAGCCAAACAGTACATACATAAATTAAACCAGTCTGTACCGTAAAGTGTCAATATCTTCATAAGCACAAGGGAAGGTTTGCATGTCTATCTTTATGAATTAAATTTAATAATGTATACAAAAATATGTAAAACTTTTTATAATCATAAAGACATACAAAGAAAATCATCTACAAAACAGAAAAATTCTTAAAAATTGCATGGCACAAGAACATAAAACAGCAATGATGTAAATAAAACAGAAATAACAATAAGCATGTTAATGTTTATATTTTTTAAACCAAATAAATGAGTCAGGATGCAGTCAAAATTAGCACATGACATTATGCCACAAGGACTGATTAAATACCTATAAAGTCAACTAGATTCAAATAAAATAGTCAAAATAAGCAAAGATAAACAGGGCGATGAGGTATAAAAATTAAGAACAAACCTTTTTGCGTTCTTGTTCCCTTCGAATCCTCTCAGCTTCAATTTTCTTCAGTTCTTCTGCTTCCTCTCTTGCTTTTCTTTCTCTCTCCCTCATCTCTGCCTCTTGAATTCTCATACGCTCGAGCTCTCTGCGTTCTTTCTCCCTAAAATTAATTATGTTTTTATAATAATAATAATAATAATTTGCAATTTGTATAGCGCCTCCCGTTAGACCAACCTCGAGGCGCTTGACAACAACGGAAGGAAACGGACAAGAAAAAAAACCATGAACCTAGAGTAACAGCAATCTAGACGCCTAAAGGCCAACTCAGACAGCGTCGGCCGACGCAGCCTGACCCGATTTATCGTCGGGGACAGTCTTAAGCCGTTGTGAGTAATATTAAACATGTTTAATATTCTACTACACGACTGCCCCCGATGCACACCATCGCGTCTGCGTTTAACTCACACAGACCCGACGCGACAACAAATCGCGTCGGGCTGCGTCGTACGACGCTGTCTGAGTTGGCCTTAACCGAACCAGACCAACATCGCACCGTTTATCGGCAATTTAAGGCGTGAAGCTTGCCGATGCATGACTCACAGGTGCTCAAGTGATGGCGGTGTCTAGCTAAACAGTTAATGGGAAAAAAAAAAGAATAAACAAAATTTATGAGGTAAATCTTATGACTACAAAGAAAATATACAGTAATCTACTTCAACTTCAGATATGATATAATTAATGATTTTAAACGTCCATTTTATGTTAGAGGTCAATATGAGACAAGTTCTATTTTCAATCTCTTTAATGGTCTAGTGATTATCATACTTAATTCTTATTAACTTAATAATAAAATATATTATATAAGCACACAATGTAGATAAAATTACTTTTGCTCTTTCAATCTCTGTTGTTCTCTTTCGTTTTCCATCTCCAAATCTCTTCGTCTTTTAGCTTCTTCCAGTCTCTGCTTCTCTTGTTCAGCTCTTCTCAGCTCCTGCTGTTGCCGCCATTCTTCCTGTTTCTGCAGACGCTCTTGCTCCTCAAACTCTTTCTTTCTAGACATCATCTCCTTGTAACGTTTAAGTTCCTCTTCCTGATAAAATAAAGAGACGTTATGAGATGGAGAACAGTTAAATCTAATTTGTACACAAGGAGAGCAGCAGATGGAATTTAACAAGTGACGAAAGAGGCTACCAGTTTAGCCGACTGAGCTAAGCTGCCGTGGGAGCTTGGATCATATTGTTAAGGCTTTCAAATTTTCCTAATTATGTAATGATGTTTGGATAGAGGGATATGTAATTTATAAATGTTAATGTTATTACCTGTTGCTTCATCTTCACCTGCCTATTATCCTCTTCAATGCGTCTTCTCTCTTCTGCTTCTAGTCGTTTCTTTGTTAATACTTTCTTCTTCTCCATGTCTTCCCGTTTTTTCTCTTCTTTTTGCTTCTCTGTAAATGCCTGCTTGTGCTCATAAAATTCTTCTAGTTTCTGTCTCTTCTCGTTCTGGAGAAGGATTCTACGTTCTCTTGCTTCAGCTGCCTTTCTAGCTCGCTCTTCTCGCTTCCTGTTAACAAAATAACTCAAAACAATAAGAAAGGTCCACTACCTACTTAAAAAAATTCTTATGTGACCTTGCAATGTGGTGGTAATTCACTCTCATCATCCAAATGTTAACATCATATCAATGGCAACCAAATGTCTTAATGAAGAGGTTAACCACAAACCTTTTCTGTTCTTCCATCTTATTCTTCTTGTCCTGTTGTAATTTCTTCCTAATCTCTTCTTCCTTTCGCTGCTTTTGTCTAATTTGTGCTTTTATCTCTTCTTGACGTTCCTGCTTACACAAAGTAAATATTCTAATGATAAAGCTTACAGTATGCATACATCAGATCATGCATCAATTTCAACTATGTTTTTCACAATCTTTTTTGTGTGTTTCTTTGTGTTGTGTGAATTTCTGTTTACTACTTAAAGCTGATGTATTTTTCCGTTCAATTTTGTGCTTGTATTTGTGTTTTCTCTTTTTGATTCGTACATTGATAAATAAAGTTATATTGTATATTTAAGGAGAGATGAATTCACAACTGATTAGTGCATTGGAATAGATTTTATAGTGCTTTATTGCCTACATTATTGCATACATTTATGTAATTTCGATGCGAGTTTGTGTCAGGAAAATATCATAAGAGCAATGTTTTGCCCTACCTGACATGTTATTGTACCAAATACTCAGTATGTTCCCAAATACTAATTTTTTCCGCAAATATTTGGGAATGTACTGAGTATTCGGTAAGATAACATGTCAGATAGGGCAAAACATCACTCCTATGATATTTATAATATGTATTTACATAATATCCCTTACCTTCAATGTTTTCTTCTTGGGAGTATTTCTTTTGATGAATGAAGTAATAATACCATTAGCATTTGTTGGCAGTACACCATCATCTTTTTTCTTGTTCAGGAAAGATTGTGGATGTGGTCTTACAATCTAAAGAAATACAATTTTGAGATACTACAGGTATATTAGATTAAATACCAGAACCAAATACTAGAATTTATTGAAAAAGTCACAGGCATAACTAACATTCAAGATGACATGATCGGTAATATTTAAATAACACGGTAGCAGACTGACCTTGTTAGCAGGACAAACGGGAGAAGGTGTCTTATCAACAACATCCTCATCGCAAGATTCTTTAGATCTGTAAGCCAAAGAAGAATTAACACTACAGTATTATTGTTTTGTTAACTGTCAAAATTCTACCTCTGAACAAGATTACATGGCATTATTATTTAGTAGGATATCATTAACTTGTAGGGCCCCTTACAGTCAGCAATGCTGTTATGCCGCCATCATTTAATAAACCATCATTACAACTTGCCTTATGTCATCCTCATTTGGTGAGCTTTCAGCAGCAGCCAAGGACACAGTCTCTGTTGCCCCTGGATCACTGTCTTGGGTTGTACGTCGTAACTTGCGTTTAGGCTCTTTGATACTTTTCTCATCCGCCTTCATTTCCTCTGCAAATTAAAATAACGATATTATTTATTCCATGCATCATTATTTGTTTTAATATAGGCATGTGAAAAAACAAAGAAACAACCAGGAAAATATAATGAATATTATATAAATATATATTTTTTCAAAACTATATAAAATGTTTTTTTTTTTAAATGCACACAGTGAAGTAAATGTATGTTCAAATAAATAATCTCTCCTCACCTGCAGATGAAGGTTCTAAGCTGTCATCAAACTGCTCAGATTGATCCTGATTGACTACAGCATCGGAGCTCAGTTCAACAACCTCCACCTTGCCAGGATCTGAAAGACGTATCTTCTTTCCTTTTGAAAATCTCTTCTGCAATAGTAAAATTAATTATATTTCTTTCTATTCTTTTACTTCATCAGTATTTAAGCTGTGGTCCTATCTAAGACATAGTGCAGTTCTAGCATTCACACAATCATGTATGAATACTACTATTGGCTATCCAATATACCAAGCACCTTGAATCTAAATTTCATGTGAACCAAACCAACCATGTTGATGAATAAATACATGATATTAAATGATAAAGTTAATAAATAATTAACAATTTTCTCCTTTTCATGTGCAATTTGAAACCGAAATTTATTGAGAATATTATTAAGATTATGTTTGCCTCAAAGTTAGTATACAGGAATGTCAATTCAATGTCCTGGTCTTTCACTAGATAGGGTATAGTTAACTAGCTAGTTAGGATTATTAATTCACTTTTTTGTCATTCTTCAGATATAGTGAATTAACAAACTAAGGCTTTGTCAATTTATTTTGGTAGTACTTTTCTAGAGTATTTTTTCAACTAGCTAAGTTAGGATGCATGTTTTTAGTGTGATGATGGTCCTCTCTAGTGAATTAACTAGCTATCAAAATGAGAATCCTGTAAAAGCACTTTTTAACTGAAAGGAAAAATGGTAGTTGAATGCCCACTGACATAAAATAATGGTATTGAAATTTTCTACCTCCTTTTCACTCACTGATGACCTCTTGACTCCCTTTTTAATTTTCTCCGCAGTGTTAACACTTCTATTAGTTTGTTGCTCTTTTCCTGGAGTAGCCATTTCACTATCCGTATCCTGTGTATTAGATTTTGTGTACTTCCTTGTTTTAGTTCGTGTTCTAAAATGTCAGAGAAAATGAAGCGAATTTAACACAAAAAAAATGATGTTCATCATGCTTAAAATTGTAGTAATAATAAGTAATTAGTAACAATAACAAAAACAAATGCAAAAATAACAATAAAATAATAACAATTGGGAGTGTTAATGGAACATTCCAAAGTGTCAATCAAACTTAACAGCTAACCAATCAGAACAAGGCTAAGAATATCCACAAATGCACATGTTTGGTTATCTTTTAACACAATGGAAATGTCCATTGTTAAATGAGAGACTTTATAAAACATAGCTTGTCAGATACACATGGTGTTGCTCTTTAAGTTAATTTTCCATATTCATATGTTGATTGCCCAATCAGTTGTTTTGTGTTTAGCGTATTGAAATAAATCAGTTGAATGAATGAACCCAATGTGGATAGTCATGTTTCTTACATAACATGTGTAACATATATTAAAGGGAGGATAATATCTCTGACCTAGTGGGCTTCTTGTCAGGACTGGATTCCTTCGACTCATCAGAATCATGAGTCTGCTTTCGTTTGTTGCTAGTTTTAGGTGCTGTGTCATCAGTGTTAGGTTGAGGTGCCTGCTGGGATGGCTTCATCTGTTTATTACGGCTTCTTGTCTGTCTCCGAGGCTCATTTTCTGCATCATCCACTGATTCTAATTCTACACAACTGTTTATTAAACAAGAAAAATATGTTTTACATTTTCAATTGTTATATTGTAATATCAGCTGGCAGTTGTATACAAAATATTCTGTATACTGTAAAAATTATAATAATAACCCTGGGTTACTATTCCTTGATTGCCTTTCAGGGTGTAACCTATACTCTAATTTAGTAATTTAGTAACCCATGGTGGGTTACTATTAGAGTATGTGTTACTATTGGAGTAGTGGGTTTCTATATTACTAATACAAGCTATATTTTAACAAAATACTTATTAATATTACAATTATTTAAACAATGCTTAAGATCTTACAAGGTCATTTTTTGTGTTTTGTATTGTAAATTAGGGCTTCTATTGACAAGCCGGACATATCACTCTTGGAAAATATGAAAATACTAAGATTACTGATACTAAGTTCAAGTAAGAAATATCATACCTTTCACTTGAACAGTTAGATTTTGCCCTTTCCATTGAGTTTTCATTGGCATTCTGATGAACTGGTGAGCATTTTGCCACTACTACTATCGGAGCTGGTGAGCATTCTGCTACCACTGGCATCTCAACTGGTATGCTTTCTGCGAATGGTGCAATCTTTTCTTCAGGACTACTGCTATCACTTCCTTCTTGAGATTTCTTTCCACAGCTTTCCATTATATTCTTTTGTGAAATCATGGACAACCGTTTACTAGCCCTTATAGATTGTCTCACAGATTTTCTCACATTTGCATCACAGGATAACCGGCGAGATGACATAGAAGATCTGGTCTTCGACTTGCTCATTGAAATCGACATCCTTCCTTCAGCAATGATGCAATCATTTTCTTGCGATTTTTCTTTGCAGCTTTCTATTTTATATTTTTGTGAAATTATGGACAATCGTTTACTACACCTTACAGACTGTCTCACAGAGTTCCTTACATTTGCATCGCGAGATAACCGGCGCTTTGACATAGACGATTTGGTCTTCGACTTGCTCATTGAGATCGACATTCTTACATTGTTCAGCATAAAAGATGATTGTGTTGGTATTGATGCTGCATTGCTGCCTTCATTTAAACTGTCCTCTTCTATACTTTCCTCAACTACTACATCCTCTTCAAACACACACTCTGAACTGGATGATCCTTTAGAGTTTGTTAGTTCTTTGTTATTCTCATTGGAGGAGTTGAGTTTGGTATCCTCAACTGTCTGAGAGTCAATTTGTTCATCGTCTGTTGTTGTTATGACCGATTCTACAACAGATTCTTCAGCGAGAACAGGACTAGGCTCTTTCACATTAACAACTGGTCCTTCTGATATGGGTTTCTCTGCCATGGGGACTGGTTTTACCTCAACACATTCCTGGATTTGCTTATCTGCTGGAAGCACATTCGGTTTATCTTCAACACATTCCTGGCTTTGTTTTTCCGCTGGTGACACATTCTCTGAAATGTCATCAAGTTTTTTCGATCTGAATTTAGACATTCGCTTTGGTGATTGGACATCATCATCAGAGCTCTCAGCAATCATCTTTTCATGTTGGTTTATTAATTTTTTGACCCGGTTTTCCTTCTCACTATGCTCAGTGTTGCAAGAGGATCCCGATTCTCTTTCCGATGAGCTTTCTTCACTTGTTTCCATAATAGTAACTGACTTAAGCGGCTTTTGTTTGTTTCGTGTTGTGCGTCTAACTCCTTCTTGTGTCCCTCCTCGATTGGAAGACCGAGTGCTACGTGTAGAATGCAGAGGTGCACTAGATTGAATTGGTTCAGTTTCAACTGTTCCATCTAGAGACTTGGATTTTCTTTGTACTCTGGAAAAAAATGAAACATACCAAGTATATTGATTTAAGTAGCAAGCAGGTTAACTTGCAATTGTTTACTGTATTTTCTATTTAAATCTTACCTTCTCTTTGCCGGAGGACTTCCACTATTATCATCTGTATCTTCTGGATTTGGCCGAATTCGACGATGCCTCTTTTTTGTTGTTGGTGTTTTTGGCAAAAGCGTTAAACTTCTCCTACAAGAGTTTAAAAGAAATATAAGTAAATTTAAAAGGCATTAAACTGGAAAATTTTGTTATAGGTTGGTCTATCATATGTGCATAAGTTATTTTAATTTTCATTGAGATAATTGAACATGGGTAATTTTTGACCATAAAAAGAGAACCTGTACATTTTTCAATGAATTATTAATTAATGTTAATAATAATTATCATTGTTTATCCTATTAGTTCCAGTCAATTATTTTATAATAACTATATGAAACTACATTATATTTAGTCTCACATTAAATTGGTATGAGAAGAATTCTGGAAGAAACAAGACAATGAAAATGAGACATGTTGTTGCTTACAAATACAGATGAATAACGTTGTGTGCATTCTTTTATGCCCTGTGTACAGTAGGCCTAGGCTTTGATCACAATTGTTTATTTAATTGATTTATCATTATTATTATTATTATTATTATTATTATTATTATTATTTTATTTACAGTATATTGTAAATAAATCCGATCATTTGTTGCTCAATAAAGAGCAACAATACTAAGCCTATGCCTAGCAGTTGGGTTTCAAATTAACCTTACCATGGAGATGTTAATTGATATCTTTTGTCTTATCTAATGTAGAAAGCATGTCCATTGTCTAGCCAGTGAGTTAAAATCAACAACTCCCTACTAGTATTTGTGTATTAAACGAAAGTATTTTGTTTGTTAGCTTACGTTTTTATTCCCACTATCAATTGCAAAAATAGTGGTGGTCGGCAGCCTAAAAATACTGGTTAAAATATATATACAGATGAATATATATATACTGTATATATATATATATCATTACCTATTTAAGGAACAATTAATAATGAAAATTTGATCCACTGCACCTTGAAAATGTTTTTCTGGCCTCTAGAAGTATTTCTTCTAGCCATGTTATGTGATCCTCCTCAAATGTCTTCAAAAACCCAGCTATCTTCTTTTGTGTTTCCAAGTACAGGGTAAATCCACTTCCTGTACCTTTGCAGTCTGGCAAATCCATATTTGCGTTGTGAAAACTGAAGAGGGAAAATAGTTATTTAGTGGTTCACTTAAAAATTATCTGGTGTATGTAAGAAAGCAAAAGTCTACTATTATTATTTTTTACACCTTTCTTTAAGTGCGACACTGCTGGTCATTGGTGTGTGGAACAAAAATAGAATGTGTAAATTTTTAGCAATGATTTTTAACTTGACCTTAAATCTAGCATAGGCTATACTATACTGTATATCGATAAATTTTGTAACTTTATTAATGTCTAATGTCTGTAATGTTTTTTTAAAGGAAGTGGATATACTGTACAGTATTTACGTCGCCGTAAACAAATCAGTAAACGATTTATTTACGTAAACGAAACAACGCATGCGCAGTCATACTTTAATAAACTTTCATTATCGGTCATGTAAATTTATCCATTCTCGTTAAATGTACATTAACGCGGAGTTCAACTTTTAGACTCCAAATTAGCATCGGCCTTTTGCTGAGGCCCCTTTTTTGGCAAGTTAAATGAATGTACTGTACCATGAATCCACGGTGCACGAAAATCAAATCTTTAAACATGGACGTGTTTATTATAGTCATGTTAAAATACATTAACTTGACACAGCAATTTTTCTTGTAAAAACAAATGGTTTCTACTCTTTTAAAAGCCTTTGAACAATTATACACAAAGTACATTCCTGTAATGTACTACGCAATTGATCGGGGCTCGATGCTTCACCTGACCAAAGACTATAACGTTGTTGTTTTTGTTAGTGACGACGTGGGTAAATGTGTTTGAATGAAAACATTAAGATGTTATTTAATTTGTGATGATTGACTATCGTATAACAATACAGGTAGGCCTAAAAGAATATCGTCTTGATTTTGTGGTAATTGAGTTTTAGCAAGGAAACCTGGAGTAGGCCTAGGCCTTGTATTTAGGACAAATGTGTTCATTCAACATGATTGAGTAAAATGAACATAACATTTCCAGCTCATAATATCCCTTTTATTTGAAAAGTTAACACAATGGTTTAATATTATTTAGTGATTAAACTACATACTATGCTGTTGTAGAAAATTAAATTATGTTTAAAAAAAACCAAAATTATAAATTAATTAGTGCCATGGTGGTGAACTTGGGGGAATCACCGCGGCTTGGGAGGCCACGCTAATGTCAAGTGCTGAAAATGCAAGTTTATTAAAGTATGACTGCGCATGCGTTATTATTTAACGTAAATATATTGTTTACGGCGACGTAGGCTATATATATTCACTTCCTTTTTTTAAAAATGCTGCTGATGCTGAATAATCAATCCAACCAATTCTGGTGACTGGTGGTAATGACTAATGGTCAGTCTTAGTTTTAGCTAAAAAAATATTTGGTAGGTAGTAGGCATAATAAGCTAGGCGCAAGATCGGCCTAGCCGCGCCCAGGCTAATCTAGGCCTGCAGCTCTAGTTCGTCCATTCATGTCAGGACAGGTTTTAACCATCGCCAGATAAACCAACACTGCAGCATCCGCCTAGTCTAGGGTCCTAGCCCACGCTAGGCCTATCCTTAGGCGTAGGATAGGTAGGCTAGGCCAACAAGATAAGAAGAGGCACTTACACTCCCAACTTTCAAGCAATACAATGAACAACTACCAAAACTATACAGAACTATAATGTAAATACATATTATAGTTATAAATAGCCAATTCAATTGAATATCTATTACTTATATATTTCAAAAATAGTCAACAAACAACAACACATAACCTTACCACTTGAAAATCCTGCCAACATGAGAGCTCCTATTTTAAATTTCCTTTCAAAGAATGGATTGACCAATCATAAGGCAGAATCCATTTTCTTTTTCACAGGACATCCATCCATTGGTACTAAATAAGACTAAACTGATTTTAGTATCTAGTATTAAATTTAACAACTATCGATTCTCATAGATAATTTATAAAAGTAGTAAATCTTAATATTTATAAATAAGAAATATAACAGAAATATTAATCTTGAAATTACTTTTGTTAAGCTTTGTGGTGTCAGAGGTGAACAAAGCGCCACCTGGAATTTTGGCCGACGTGGAACTCGATGATGTCGTCTCTCTCTCTCTCTGCGTGTGTGTCACATACGGCTGATAGGGACCGGTTGTTGAATGTTTAGTGTAAATCCTAGCTGGTGTGCGAAACGCGAGCATTATTTGTGATTGTAAGTTCCTTGTTATGTTATTTTTGTCATGTTATTTTGTTGAAATATACCTTACCTAATTTTTTACGTGAATGAATAAAAATTTAAGAAGTTTAAGTACCAATACTAGAGAAGAGAGACTAGCCTAGGGGCCTAGGCTAGGCCTACCTACCCTAAGCCTAGAGGAGGGCTAGCCCAGACCCAGGCCTAGCCCAGGCCGAGGCCTCCTTCTAGCCACGAGGCTATCTTAGTAGGAACGCTAGGCCTGCCTGCCTAGCCAGGCCCTCGGCTAGCCCCCATGTGCCCGGCTAGCCTAATCTAGGCAAGGCTTCTCATTACGTTTGTTATAATTATATATATCTGTCATACCGTAAAACCTCGAGTAAACCCTCTAACCTAGCCGCTAGCCTAGTAGGTAGGACTAGAAGTAGAAGCCCTAGCCTGGGTCCTGGATTCTTTTTTTCCTTATTTTTTGCTGTACCTTTGAATGAGCTCCTTCTCGAGGTGGGTGCTTTTAGTTTTGTTTTCTTCTAGTAAAAACGGATATAAGTCAACAAAACGACAATAAACCAAAACTGCCAACACTTTTTTACCAGAACGGCAATGGACCAAAACGGCAATAATAGGTGAAAATGGCAATAAGTTAAAATGTCAATAAACCAAACGGCAACACTTCCAGAATTCTGATTTATTTTTGGTATAGGTGTTGTGCATTGAGGTGTTTGCACGACTTGCAAAATGCGCAAGCTATTACTTGCAAAATTTGCAATAGACTGTGCAAGGATTTCTTTGCACAATTTTAAAACTGTGCAAGATTTTGCACAGTTTGCAAACTGTGCAAGGAGATTGTTGCACAGGCTTAAAATGCGTGGACGATTTGCAAACTGTGCATGGGTACAGTAGAGCGGCGGTCTGAATTTTTTTTTAGCTTGTGTATTTTTCATATAAATACATTGTAGGCCAGTATTAACAGCATAATAATGTGACTTTCTAAAGTACCTGCAGGGCCTATTTGACTTTTCTTTTAAGTGTCAACTTATCAATGGACAATTAATAGGCCTACGCTATTTAATAGTGTAAGTAATAATATCTGTATAGTATTACTCTTGTTGGGAAAAATTATATTTAACTTGTTAGTAGGCCTATGTACATGCATAGAAATGAAAATGAGAAGAAGTTGTCATTGGATGATTATTTTTATTTCATAAAAAGAAAAACCACTTTCACTGGAATCTTGTAATTTGAAAAGTGTTATAAAATAAGTCGTATATAATTTGCCTACATACTTTGTCTTGTGAGGTTTATTTCGTTAGTTTGCCAAATAAAAGCCTTAAAGATGGATTTCAATGTACAGTACTCCTTTGGCTAATCATCCATAAAAAGCTGAGAATAAAGTTGTATGAAAGCTGAGCATGAAGGTTTTTGGAAGTACACAAGAAACATCAAAGTTTGGGTCTGGCCCGCTGTGTTCAATAAAAAATTCACTGTGGCCCTCCAACCGATTTTTATGCCCACCCCAGATCTAAATATTATAATTTTAGGGCTTGTCTTTTTTATTTCATTTATTTGGCATCATAAAACTATTTACTATAAAAATAAATTATAAGCATGAACATAAATTGAGTAGAGTGAATGTATTATGTATTCAGATGTTGATTAATATTTAAAAAATTTGTAAATAATAAATATAACATTTGTTAATGGGTGGATTAATGTGTAATTACTTACATTAAGTTAATTAGTTATAATACATAATACTTTTTGCAAATGAATAAGGAAGTAAAATATAAGTATCTTGACAATTATATATATTTTATTATGGTCGAAATAAATAACAAAATGTTTATTTTTTACACATTATATATTCATTTGCAGAGTAATTGAACCTTATTTTCAAAATTCATAGGTTTTGATTAATAGCAAAGATCTTATATAGTAACAAGATAGCGTTCTCCGCGGTTTGCGTGTAAAAAATAGAAGCGTCCAATTCACGCAGATAACAATAGAAAGTAATTGTAATTGAGAGAGGGCGTCCTACACTGCCTTATTACAGAATTTGCAGGCAGAAGTCACAGAGAACACTATCTTGTTGTTATAAGAACTTTGATTAATAGTTATTCTTCATTTCTTCATCTTCAGATTGAACAGAACAAAAAAAAAATATCAGGATGTCTACTGCATCGGAACTTGCATGCTACACTCTGATTCAGATGCCAAGTGATTCTGAACCACCAAATGAAATGCAATTTAAAAATGATATTGGTATGTTATCTTGTTTTTTTTATAGAGGTTTATTATCAGTATAAAATATAAGCATTGTAATAAGTAACAGGTAAAACTAGACTTATTATTTAAAGTTGTTTCAAATTTCACAGTGTTATAATTATGGTATGTAAATGAATAGTCAGTAAAAACCATATATACGCTATCCAACTGAATCTTTGAAAAATATTAAAGTTAATAGCTTATTTGTGATTTTAACCAAAATTTTTTAATAGATATATAGAAATAAATACGGAAAAATTTATATTGACGACTTATTTGTTGTTATTGGTATATGCATTATTTATTCCACTGCAGAGAAAGGAGACACCAAGACAAAAATTAAGGCTTTGAAACAGCTGATCTATATGATGTTGAATGGAGAAAAAATGCCAGGACTTCTCATGTATGTTATTCGCTTTCTGCTGCCCATGCAAGACCATACCATGAAAAAGTTACTTTTAATCTTCTGGGAAATTGTGCCGAAGACCCGGCCAGATGGAAAACTTCTTAATGAGATGATATTGGTGTGTGATGCCTACCGCAGGGTGAGTCACAATTACAACCAGAGCTGGAAAAAGTGCACGATCGGTGGTTGGAGGCATTGACCTTTACCCTGGAGGCATTTTAGAAAAATTTTTTTTTTTTTGTTTCACATCACAATTTAATGCATAAATGTAATATGTACAGTATGCTTGCTCCAAACCACTGAATGTGCTACTGTTTTGCTATAATAGTGTAAAGGTAACATTTTGTCCTAGAGGCATTTGATCAAGATAATTTTTTTATGGTAGGAGGCACAAACATTTTTTTTCTAGGCCTGATTCCAACAGTAAAAACAAAATGTCAATGATGGAATAATTTAAATTTTGTTTTTATTTTGTAATAGAAAAAGAGATACAAAATGAATATCATTTTGAAGTTAAAATACATAGAAAGCAAACAATAAAAAAGGAAAACCAGTAACCAAAATCAAAAATTCTTTTTTTTATTTTATAGCCAATAAATAAGCATAGGTTTTGATACAGTTACAAAAACCACTGGAATATAAATTTTTCTTGATGTTTAATTCTAACAAACATACCCAGTTCAATCCAACCTGACAGTGTGCACTCAGCTTTTAGAATTTCATTGTCAATGACTGCAACACATTAATTGATTGTGTTTTTTGCTGTTTGTAGGACTTGCAGCATCCTAATGAGTTCATCCGTGGCTCAACTCTGCGATTCCTCTGCAAACTCAAAGAACCTGAACTCCTCGAACCACTGATGCCTGCTATCACTGAATGTCTTGAACATCGCCATAGTTACGTCCGTCGTAATGCTGTCCTTGCTATCTTCACAATTTACAAGTAAGATTTAAATGCCGTACCTAAGTTTTTAATTTTCCTGTAATTGTATATGCAAATTTAAATTGTGTTGTGAGTGTAGATATTTTGCCACAATTTATTTTATTTTATTGACTTATTCTTTCTTTATACAGAACTTCAAATTCAAAAGTGGTTCAGAAAAAAACAGAAGTATATATATATATATATATAATATATATATATATATATATATATGGTTTGAAAGGCAAATGAGAAAAACCCATAAAACAGCAAACAACCATATAATGCAAAACAATTTAAAATTAAAATAAAAACGGAACAGTAGGGAAAATCCGATCAGAATGACAAAATAAACTAAGCATCCACTGGAAGGAATCCCAATATCTGCAGACGGATCCTTTTCGGCCTTCCAGGCCTCATCAGTGCAGCTAGGGTACAGACCCAAACGAAACGTTCAACCAGCTTAGGCAGGGCCCAAACTAGTCCCACGACCACTAATGATTACAGAGCCAAACCAAGGCAATATATATACACAGCCCAGGTGTGAATGCAAATAGTGGAATACAAGCTATGCTGCTCGGTTCCAGTAGATACAGAGAATATTTGTCATTCTTAACGCGTCCTACAAAATTCTTACGAGACAGCACTAGTCCGTAATTTTGTGAACGAGAAATGAGATCTAAAGATGCAATCTCTACCGTGCATCAATGGCGGTGCTGGATCTCAATAGAGATTCTTAAATAATATGTAAGTTTGAAAGGCAAATGGGAAAAACCCATAAAACAGCAAACGGCCATATAATGCAAAACAATTTAAAATTAAAATTAAAACGGAACAGTAGAGAAAATCTGATCAGAATGACAAAATAAACTAAGCATCCACTGGAAGGAATCCCAATATCTGCAGACGGATCCGTTTCGGCCTTCCAGACCTCATCAGTGCAGCTAGGGTACATTTTTATATATATATATATATATAAATCAAATAATACAAGTAACAACTAATGAAAACAAAAATAGAAGTACAACAAACACAGATTGAAAAAATTCAAACTTTTTAATTTAAATATAAATGTAATAAGTTTGGTATTACATAAAATAAAACTTGGTAGTTGTGTGGACTAGAATAGGATAGGAGTATTTCAGTGTTAATCACACCAAGGATAGCCCACTAAGTCTGAAGACTTGTTTCCAGTGGCAATACACCTTGAGACAATCCCCTACTCTTTTCCGAAGAGTGTACTGCGTTCTTTAACATGCACATGGGCCATAAATGTAACCGGTGACCTAGAGATCCTCATGGTTTAGCGTACGCACAGTGGCTACAACCAGATTAGCCGACTGAGTTCAAAGTTCGAAGTAATTTTATTGTCAATAGTACAAGTAGTAAAATTGAAATTTGGTTACCTCGGATACACAAAAAAACAGTAAAAAAATATCAACAGTAAGATTCTAAAAATTTTAGTTTAAATATCATTATATCAATTTTCTTAACTAAGTACAAATATATACAGAAAATAATTGAGAAAAAATTGTAGGTTAAATAAATTAGCATTAGCTCAGTATAATTCTTAGTTTAGTATACAAAATATAGTACAAAAATAGTTTATAAAACTGCAGTGTAAGACATTCAAGAAAATCACAGTTAAAAATAATTACAATAAAAATTATTGCAGCTTAAATATCAAAAATTCAATTAAAAAATAAATGAGCTGCTGCTATGTAGATCTTTAGAAGTACTGTACTCAATTTGATGCGTGTTATAAACATGCTGCACAATAAATAGCATATATTAGATTCTTGTCAGGCAGTGGTTACTAGCTACATAATTATTTTTTTATATTTTAGGAACTTTGACTTCTTGATTCCCAATGCTCCTGAACTTATCCACAACTTCCTGGAGCAGGAGAAGGATGCTTCCTGTAAACGCAACGCCTTCATGATGCTTATTCATGTCGATCAGGTACACCATTCATTATTTATCACACAATAACCCATTCAACTAATACAGAATTTAAAAAGACCATAGCTCATCTAAGATTTTGATACCTTGTATTCAAAGTTAATATAATTTTAGACCCCAGAGATTGCCAATTGCAAATTTATCACCTCTCCCCCACTAAACCCTACATGTTGTAAGTAATGAATAAATATACATCAGGATGGATCAAAATGAATATCATTTTACATAATATTTGCCTCTACATTTGCTGATGGCTTCTTGGTACAGTATTATTAGCAACTTTACCACATGTGTATATATGATTTAATGATATTATGATTAAATGGTTGTTTTTGTTTATTTTAGGAGCGTGCTCTTGATTACCTCAGCACTTGTATTGATCAGATTAACAGTTTCAATGACATCCTTCAACTGGTCATCGTGGAGCTTGTATATAAGGTGAGAGTGGAGCTACATTGTGCTATTTTAAATTTTCCTATTACTAATCCATAAAATCTACATAATATAGTATACAAACTCTGCAACTGCAAAAAAACGTTGTGAATGTTGTTTTATATCAGGTGTGTCATGCAAATCCATCGGAACGTTCTCGTTTTATCCGTTGCATCTACAACTTGCTTCAGTCAACAAGTGCTGCTGTACGATATGAAGCTGCTGGTACACTTGTCACACTCTCTAGCGCCCCCACTGCCGTTAAGGTATGAATTCTACGTTGTTAAGAAATTTTAAATTAGGGTATAGGAAGAATAACTAGTGTAGATTACTGGATATTGATAGTCATCCAATTCAAATTTTTATCGTTTTTTTCTACATTGTTTTTCACAAATCAGTGTAAAGTTGTAGATAAGCAGAACTGTTAAAGTGTGGGTGTCTGAATGATCCTAGACCTTTGATACTATCCACTTTAGCTATTCCCAAAGGCATTATATTGAATTTCTAAAACTGGTTCTCTGATTCCTATTTAACACTGATAATAATGTATGATAAAACATAGATTGTAGTGTCATAAACCAGAATATTTTGAAATTTTAAATTTAATGATAGATTTTTTTAGATTCTTTTATTGTTATTGAGATTTTGATTGTGCAAAAGGTATTACAGTAATATTTTTTTATGTGTTATGCTTGTTTTTAAAATTTTTTCTTAGGCCGCAGCGTCATGTTACATTGAGTTGATCATCAAAGAAAGCGATAACAACGTCAAACTGATTGTTCTTGATCGTTTGATCAGCCTCAAGGAGGATCCAGCTCATGAGAAAATACTCCAGGTAGGAGCTGATATTTTGAGTCAGTAGTACTGAATTTTAGGTGCTCTTCCACTGTTTTAAATGGATGCTTGTTCTAGTAATTAACGCTATAAACAATATAAATCAGTAATATAAATTAAATAAATGTATCTGTGTAGTTGAGCGTTTCCATCAATTGATAATTAAACGACAGTTATTACAAGTTCATTTTTTATTCTTTTGCTAGGAACTTGTGATGGATATAATGCGAGTATTGTCAGCCTCTGACTTGGAAGTCAGGAAGAAGACCCTGGATTTAGCCTTGGATCTTGTCTCATCTAGAAACGTTGAGGAGGTACGAGTAATATATGTTTCCATTGCAATGTTTTCAGTGTTTAAATACTATTATTTGTAACACAAGTGTATTGACAAAGGTCAACATTTGGTTAGCATTCACCTGTATTTCCAGGTGTGTTTACACATTCCTTTGTGTATGAGTTTTTATAGACGTATAGTTAGATGTTATGTAAAATTTTTCCGTTGTTTGATTTGTGTTTGTAGATGGTACTAGTTCTCAAGAAGGAAGTCACAAAGACCCACAACACTGGAGAACATGAAGATACTGGCAAATACAGACAGGTAAGTTTACATACAAGTTTTGGTATTTTAAGATGTTACCAGATAATGATCAGTATCTCCTTCTGTAAAAGGGAAAACATCATATCAATGATAAAAATGACAATAAAAAATTAAAAAGGATGATGACAAAATGTCGTGATGATAGTACAGCAAGACGTCCATTTTACGTACCGCGCTATATTATTTTAACTCTTATTCAAACATCTGTATGTTTTATGAACCTTCCTATCGTGTTCTTTCTAGTTATTAGATTGCCGAATTGTGGTGTTTACAAGCATTTTGCGATCACATCTAGCATTCACGATGTCAATAAGTTGCTGACCCCAACACTCTTGTCCGTCATTGTAAACATGTGTGCTCAATCCGACGCCACTTGCGTTGGTAGTTCGCTGTTTTGGTTAGGTTTATTACATTAATATAGTGATTATATACCAGAAATGGAAGACAAGATCGAACTATTAATAAATAAATACAACAAACTCTTTTATTATAAAGAAAAATATACATTATGACTTTGTAAAACGTGTGCAATCAGACTTTTTCTACGGTAATTATTGGTCGATGATGACATTATTAGGGGTAAAGACCATTCGTAAAATCGACCATTCTTAAAATTGACGTTCGTAAAATAGACGTTTTATTGTAATCCAAATGCTCTGTGATGGCCATGATGCTGAAGATGAAGGTCGTGACCTGAACTAAAGATGCCAACGTCAATAATGATACAATACACACCTAACAATGACGATGATGATGATGATAAAAACAATATTGATATTGATGATAATAACAATAATCATGATGGCATTGATAGAAAAGATGACAAGTCTTGCTTGGTATTCCTTTTTTCAGCTTTTAGTGCGCACTTTGCATACTTGCAGCATTAAGTTCCCAGACATTGCTGCTCAAGTTATTCCAGTGGTAAGTACAAATCACATATAGCGTTTACGGCCATGGCACTTGCTCTAGGTAATTCAAAAACGTATAAAAGTCGTGCTGGCAGACCATTGAGTAACTTACTAAATCAGTTGCAGGTAGACTTGAGAAAAAGACATCTCTGCCTTTATAGTTATGAGGATCTCATTTTTCTTAAAGTGCTAACAATAAGTTGTCATGGGTAAATCTATTTTAATTGTATATATGTCCTGATAAATGAAATTGTAAATTAATGAAATTGTATGTTAACTATGCCATTTTTGAAGTAAGTTTGAATATATAATATACCATGCCAGATATACACATCTTTGATATTAATAATAAATACAGGTAATCACATCTAAAGTAATTGAATGAATGTCTGTATGATTACAATGCCAGGTGGTTACCCATGATGCATTATTTCAGTATCATTCTTCTAAATATTTTAGGTTTCCTGTGTAATTAATCATTTTAGGTGGATGTATTTGTAAGTCATTTGTTGTTTTATCTGCTTTGTAGTTGATGGAATTCTTGAGTGATGTCAATGAGCTTGCTGCTTCTGATGTTCTTGTGTTTGTTCGTGAAGCTATCCAGCGCTTTGAACAATTGAAGTCACTCATCATCTCAAAGTTGCTTGAGGTCTTTCCTACCATTAGGAATGTCAAGTAAGCTACTTATATCACATTAAGTTTAAGAATGTTTTTTCAAATAAAATTAAGAATCTCATATATAATATTTAACTTAAGCTGCCTTGCATTTAACCTAGGCTTTAATATTTTTACCTTAGTTTAGGCAGTAGCCAAATTAAATTACCAATATTTTATGACAGTTTAATTCGTTATTACTTGATTTAGGATTCACCGAGCTGCCCTGTGGATTCTTGGAGAGTATTGTACTAGTGTTGAAGACATTCAGAGTGTTATGACAGAGATCCGTAACTCGTTGGGAGAAATTCCAATTGTCGATGATGAGATGCGCAAAGCTGCTGGCGAATCTACTGATGGTTTGTACTGGTTTTGCGTTAAAAATACTATTAAATACTCTAATAAATCACTGAAAAACTTATCACCTTGTCTGTTGCTTCATGCAGGCAGTGAATAGCATCATTTGTACAAATGATAGGTGAAGAAACTCAACTGAAATTTATCAAATATAAATATAAGAAATCAAAATATAAAACATGTCCAAAATATGAATATCGAATAGGTTATTGATATGTTTTTTTATGACTTCCAACTTTTCAGAGGAAAGTGTTCAGATTACAAGTGGTCGACGCCTTGTGACAGATATGGGAACTTATGCCACTCAGAGCGCCCTCAGCTCTGCTTCCCACAGCACCTCAGATGACAACAGGTATTTAATAGGATATAAATCGAAGCTGTATCTATGCAGAATATTGTAATGTTTATATGAAGTTTGGTAACCTTTTTCATATTCCATTAGAGGAAATTTGCCAAAGGCATCACATATATTAATTGACTTGCGATGTGTTGCTTCCTTCTAGACCACCTTTAAGAGGATTCCTTATGGATGGTGAGTTCTTTGTCGGTGCATGTTTGGCGACAGTTCTCTCCAAGCTTGCCTTCAGATACGTTGACATGGTCTCCAGCGAAAAGAAGCAAAATGTAAGAATTCATTGTTTTCCTAAAACTTCAATCAGTTTATAAATTATTTTATAATATTTTCTGTATCCGGTTAAAATAACTTGTTGATGTTTTATTTTGTAGGCCTTTCTTGCTGAAGCTATGTTGATTATGGCGACTACCATCCATCTTGGCAAGTCAGGTCTTGCTAAGAAGGTAAAGATATATTTTGCTTATATTACATACTTTTTTTTGTCTGCTGTTATGGAATTTAGTACATAGTGTATTTGCTGATAAGATGATAATGATTATTAAGGTTATGATGATTATGTATTACTGTACTGATGTTTTTTAATTATAACTTGTAGAACATTACCGATGATGACGTGGACCGCATTTCAATGTGTTTGAAAGTTCTGTCAGAGCGCCATCCGCTCATGTCCAACATATTCCAGCTGCAATGTCGTGCTTCACTCGAAGCTATGTTGCTAGCTAAGCAGAAGGAAGATACATCCTCCAAGAAGGTAGAATTCATTGAAGTTTTTTATCAATTGACTGAGTGACCTATTCATGTATTAGTGAATTTAACTGAATGGTCGACTAACTGATTGAAGAGTTCACTGATTGATTAATGATTGATGTTATTTGGTTGAATATATAGATAAATTTGTCTACTGTTCTACTGGCTTAAAACATCTTGGGTTATTATCTGTATATAAATTACAATTCAATCTTACAAAACAATAATCTGTCCCCAACAAATTAGTATAGATTTTATTATCCTACCTTTACCCACCTCCTACCATTGTTAATACTATAAGTTGACTATCTTATAAAATGTTTGACTGATTGATTAACTGCTGATTGATTATGTGATTGATTGATAGTTGTTATTGATTTATTTCAGAACTTGTTTGACAGGAAGAGTGTCAAGATTCAGCCTGATGACCCTATCAACTTCATGCAGCTTCTAGCAAACACTGAAAATAGCAGCTCCCAGGCAAGTCATGTGACCCTTGTATAGGGAATTGTAGGTTTCGGTGGGGTGTGGTCCAAACTGTTAAAAAAATATTATAATGTATTACAATATTTTGATAATTGAAATCAACATTTTAAAGTAATATTTATTTCTTTCTGGTTTTTAGGACCAATTGACCATGAGTCTGACACTGGCTACTATGGGTGTGTCTACTCGCAAAGAGGCTGCTGACATATCCTCCTCCAAGCTGAGCAAAGTCACCCAATTGACCGGCTTCTCTGACCCGGTGTACGCAGAGGCCTACATCAACATCAACCAGTATGACATTGTCTTGGATGTACTAGTGGTGAACCAGACTGCAGATACTCTTCAGAACTGCTCTTTGGAGCTGGCTACACTCGGTAAGTACAGCTGCTCCAATTTGTTAAATGGATACTGATAATCAAAAAAATGTTATATATTTGTTAATTAAAGTTGAAAAATTGTCACAACCTCTCAATATCATCAGTAAACATATGTTTTGGTATTACAGTAAAAATGTTTCCTTCAATCTTTGATGATGGTTCTATGATTTTATTAATCTAATTCCTAACAAATTGTATGATTTTTCTGTCTGATTTGTTGTGGATGGTACTATAATATTTTCTCATAACTCGTAGTCTTTTCTGATAAATGTTTTTTTACAATTTTAAAAACTTTTCTAAAGTCAAAGTTCAATTTATTTCTCCCCCTTTGACCTATCTCCATCTGATGTGGATGTTGTCCCCCTCTAGGAGGTATGTTTGCTTTACATCAACATCTGTGTACATGTTGTCATGGTGTCATTTCAGTTTTCAGGTCACCAGTGCCTCATCATCTAATTGTATTAGTTCATGAAATTCAGTGAGCTTTCACTTTAACATGTAGCCTATAGACTAAATGGTGTAGTGTCGACATTTGTGTCTAGTTTGTAGGCTATCGCTAATTTATATCTGTCATATTATTTGAATGCATGTAACAAAAGGAGATTGGATACTTTACCTCAAACTTAACTTGCTTTTAATGGCATTAAGTAATAGATGGATGCAGTGTTTGCATCCAATCAAATACCCAATAATTGTCATGTAGTCAAAAGATTCTTTTATTATTTAAGGAATTTATTGTGTATATTTCACTGACAAGTAGTCTTGTCTCAGTCAAAACATTGAAATGGGTAAATTTTATACTGCTAATGTTATTTGTAAGTATAAGTATATCATATGCTAGCCAGTTGCTTGATATGTAATGTTTAATTCTCAGGTGATCTGAAGCTGGTAGAGAAGCCTCAGCCGATGACGCTAGGCCCCCATGACTTCTGCAACATCAAGGCTAACGTTAAGGTAGCATCCACTGAGAATGGCATCATCTTTGGCAACATAGGTATGCACTTACATCACCACTAACATCATCATTATTTGTTTTATTTTATTTTATTCATTTAGTCAATATGGACCAAGGATTGATTATATTGATATGAATTACTGTTTTTTTTTTTAATGATAATTGGCAATTCCTTACTAAAAACAAACATACACGTGATGATCTAATGAATTCTTAGTGTGTGGAGTTGTTTTTTGGTTGTGAGAAAAAATCCTGTCTGGACAGGAATTTTGTCCCAGGGATTTTGAAGGAAAGCATCTTAACCTCCAAGCTATTCCACTCCACTCTAATTGATGTAGTTGTTTTGCTGTTGCTATTATTTTTGCTGTTACTGATGTTTATTTATCCATCTATTAGTGTATGATGTAACTGGTGCTGCCAATGATCGCAATGTGGTTGTACTCAATGATATTCACATCGATATTATGGACTACATTGTCCCTGCTACTTGTACTGACGCTGAATTCCGAACTATGTGGGCTGAGTTTGAGTGGGAGAACAAGGTATACCATAAATTATTATATTATGGACTTGAATGAATCTTTCATAAATGTATAAGGTTGCTACTACAATTTCTTATTTATATAAGATACTGTACAACATATTTTTTATGTACCTCTGTAACATGGATGTTAAGTTTGTCAAATGATGCATTACAGGTGACTGTGAATACCAACATTGCTGATTTACCAGAATACCTAAAGCATGTACTTAAGTGTACTAATATGAGATGTCTCACACCAGAGAAGGTACGTTAAGATATACCTCTTTATTGTTAAGTTCTTTATGTAGTTTCTGGTTTTATAATTAGATTTGTAATACTTTCTTGAATGTCAATGATTCCAGGGCCATCAAAGTATAAAAATGTGATTCAGATTATGTATCCCAATTGATTTTGTTAAATGATTGACTGTCCTTGATTCTGATTGGTTATCTCAGGCTTTGTCTGGCGATTGTGGATTCATGGCAGCCAACCTCTATGCCCGTTCCATATTTGGTGAAGATGCTCTAGCCAATCTAAGCATTGAGAAGCCTGTAACTGCTTCTGCTGAAGCCCCAGTCCAAGGCCATATTAGAATCCGTGCTAAGAGTCAAGTAAGTACTTACATTTATGCCACACCAAATAAATCTTGGGGAGGAGGGAACGTTCAAAGTATCCCCAAAATTGACACAATTCAAATTCCCATGAGCATGCAAAAGACTCCCAGAAAAGAATCAATCTCCCACAAGTTTATGATGTCTGCATGTTTTTACTACTGTATTATTAATTTTCTCTTTGAAGTTAACTGGATATTACCATGCCCAATAAAATTCAAAAGATATCAGAATGATCATTAAACCAGATCCCTCAGAAATTGCTTCTCCCAACTTGGGACCTCTGAAATGTAGTGAATATCTGTATATCAGATTTTGTTTTAACCTGTAGTTGATTTCACTAAATATTTGTTGCATATTTGTCTCCACAGGGCATGGCTCTCAGCTTGGGGGATAAGATAAATTTGTCTCAGAAGAAAGACAGGGATTCTAAGTAGGGGATAAGACCTAATCTGATAGAATAATTATGATCTGATAGATTGTTCTTAAATTAGATCATCTTAGTATTTAGGTATTCCAATGTGAAATCAATTATTTACCATAGGAACCCTTACGAGCTAAAAAAAAAATAACTATACATGTATTTAAGTATTTGTTGCACTTATGTATAACTATAAACTAGCAAGCTAAAATATAAATAATAATGATGGTGTTAACCATGTGGAAGTGATACTTGCCTGACTTTAATGTTTGTGTACTAATCATTCATAATATATTGTCCTCAAAAGATTTCTGGTGGAAACATTTCAATTACTTTCATAACATTATTTACTTTTGCACTGATATTGATCTTATTCCAGGTTAAAGTTTACACTTACTTTGCACAGAATTTACATAGAATGTAATTACTCAGATATCCATTGATATTACCAGATATTTGCATATCCATAAAAGTGGTCAAAATAAGGAACATATATATTAATTTTTACAGTAATTTATTGTACTGTTCACATATGTTGAAATACATTTATGCATAGGTCCCAATTGCTAATGTTTTTTTTTGTTAACATGGTGAATAATAATGCTTGTACAATATTTATATAGTGCATAGTATAAATTGTCTTATTCGTATGTTGCCAAATCCCCTATGTTTAAAATACTCAGTAGCCAGTAAATAAAGCATGAATTGTGTTATTAATACAAGGTATGGTAAACGTAATATTAAGTTTTTAATGACGAGCTATCTGGGACAGTTTGACATCATCGTGAGGAATGTGCTCATGCGCATTATGTTCCTGTTTGAATATGGTAGAGTTCATTCGTTGGGGATGTAAAAGCAACTTGGCATCCGCGGTAAACAAAGTGTCATGGAATTTCTGGGAGGGTTGGAATTCAACCTTATATCATGTTCATTAAAATTATAACTACAGTATATAAGTAAACAATTTGTTTGTTTGTTGTCTTGTTAATGATAATTAACTTTTGGTACACCTGATTCTAAGTTGAAGGAATACAATTAATGAACTTGTTAAAAATAATAACACATAGGTATACTCACAGGCTTAATGTGATGGGATTTAATTTAGTTCATTATACCAATGTCTCAATGTGCTTAAAAAAGATAGGAAAACATTTGGTGATGTACGGGTCGACCCTCTAGAACATGCTTCCATTGGAAATACAAGACTCGCCGAACAATGACTATTTTAAAAAGGCCTAAACGCTTTGAGGTTTTTTTTTGCATTAGGAGCTTCATAAAATTATTATTATTAGTCAAGCCTACATTGGTTTTCTGTTTAACGACATTTTCGTCTTCTCACCACTCATCACCCAAATACAGCACCAATCTTCAATCACATCTTGTATTAATTCGAAGTCATAGAGAGTATACCCAATATTAAAGGGTACCTTGGCCGGGTGTTGTTGATAGTTAAGAGTACACATTGTATGACATATTGGATGAGTGTCAATTACAGTATCTACTGTATTCCAAGATGGTGTGAGCAGAGAGCGAGAAAAAAAAAACTCAACCTCAGGAATATTTTACATATTTTTATTCATTTTGTGAAATCAATTTCAGCTTTGTTTTTACTGTATAGTGAAAGTCTACATAATTAATTAAACCAATTGATTTTATATAAACCAATATCTTATTTAAACAACACAATTGTTAGATTTTTCTTTGCAATTGAGAATTAGTAAAATGCCTCACATTTCTACCTATTCAACCCAACACAAGTGTCAAGCTGGATGGAAGCCCATAGAAACCAAATTAGAAACTTATAAACCAAGAAAATTGTGCAAATGGAAGGATACACTAGGCAATTATATTACTGGACTTGACACAGTGTCAGTGCAATTTACTTGTATACAAACCACAGTTCATTAGGTTATAAACCTATGAATATATTACAACCTTGTATGTTTTATCAAACAGTATAGAACTATAAAAGAGGTTTGACTCTTGGAGTTTTGTTGGAACGCTTGCATGTTTCGAACTCTATTCGAATATGGTGCTCCTAACACATGGTAGTACAAGTTCCATTGCGTGCATACAAAAAAAGAGACAGTCGGACCTCTTGCAGTTTTTATACTCTTGTGACTTTATCTAGACAGAATTTTCCACAGCTGTATAACACCTAAAATCGATCTAAAATCAACCTATGAATATCAACGAACATCTAGTTCAGATTAATAAATTCACTTTATTTTTATGGCAGGAAAAGCAACCATATTCCTGTCCAATTGTACTGTAACTTGAAAAATTAAATATATATAATGGCACTGCATATGTTTAGGGACATTTGGGAACCACAGAGACACGATTTTCACTTACTGTATTGCTTTACAAAATTTCCTGCCCATTATTAGTGACTATACACAAATCTATAGCAGGTTCAAAATATATGTCATGTTTAATATACAGATCAAATCTTTAAGAAAAGAAATGGTCTTTTTAAAATATAGATATACTTGGAGAAATGTGTTAATTTATTTGAAAATAAACTACAATAAACTTTATTTTTATGAAGATAGATTTTACAGACATTTTAATATTACAGCAAGTTATATTAGAAAACATTCTTATCAATGCTTATGAGGCAGTTGTTACTAAGGCCTTTAAACAAGAAACAAATAGTTACTCAAGTATAAACATATATCTCCAAAGAATTTCAAAATTGGTTATCTATATAAACATATATCTAAACAAAATTGATTTGGTAATATTTGATTAATCTACATTATTATTAACTGAAGCACCAGTTTCAATACCATAATTTGTTAAGTGAAGAAACATTAAAAAAAAAAAAAAAACAAGAATGGTGTCTAGGACATACAAACAATAAAAAGTGTCTTTTAGCAACAAGATGGGATGATAATTTTGGTCAATCAATTAAAGATGTAGACATAAACACATTTAGATTTAAAACTGAAGTGAGATGGATTTTTTTTTATGTGTGTGCAATAAATATATATTTTATATATTATTGTGTTACTGAATCAACAACTGAGTAGGTATAATGCGCATTATATATCATCATCTTTAATTACTAATGATGAGTGAGAAATAGTGTGAATTCGCCAAAAGAAATTACAAAAAATTTACTATAAAAATCAACATTACCAGATGAATTAAAGGGACTGTAAAACAGGGTTAATTAGTTTACATCCTTTACTACAAAGATTCTTTACTTTCTTTTGCCAGTAAATTTAATTGTCTATGCAAAAGAATATTGGAAAGGTATTATTTATGCATCTGTTAATTGATAAAGAAATCTAATTTGCATATTACTTAAAAATAGGAAGTAAGCAACCCAAATATTAATCCACCACCCCCCCTCCCCCCACACCTGGTGAATCTGCAATGGTAATTATCATTACAAAATGTGTTAAATATTATGCATATAAATTGAGGTGCATAGTGGGAGGACATTATAGAGAGTAGATAAATATTAAAAAACATAGGCAATATAACAACCCATATATCTATTGTTAGACATAAATCCACTATATTTGTATTGGATATAACACAAAAACATATAAGAAACCTTTGCATATAAACTGAGGTGCATAATGGGAGGACATTATAGAAAGTATATAACTATTTAAAAAACATAGGCAATATAACAACCCATATATCAATTTACTATTGTTAGACATAAATCCAATATATTTGTATTGGATATAAACACAAAAACATTTAAGAAACCTTTCACCCTTGTTATTAAATTCAAAATACTTATTTCATATCAAATATATACTTTTTATCGTGGCAGCAACTACCCCTTACTACTGTCTCCAAATTCTAGGGTTGAACCCCAGCCCAAAACTAACTCTAGGCACTGCCTAGCTCTAGTAAAAGTCATAAGGCTCTGCTCAGCCCTAGTACAACCCCTAAGGCACTGCCTGGCTCTAGGGCAATATCTAGGGTGTACACATCCTAAACCTAGTATAGTACAATGTCTTCCACCTAGGCAGGGGCGGATCCAGGATTTGAAATCGAACACTTAGGCAATATATTATTATATTCCAACAATATTGAGTAGTTGGATACGTAGTCTTTCTTCCATGGATCGATGAACCAATAGGCTTGAAGAACGCACTACATAAATTATTACGACGTTGAACCAAAAACAGTGTTTTAATTTTATTTAATTGAAGGCTAGTTGGGCTAAGCCTAATTTGTCCGATCTGAAAACCTATGTCTAGGTAGGTAAGCAAGCATTTTGTAAGCCAGGACTTAGTAGTATTTTGTTTCTTCACAGAAGGGAGTTCGTCCGAACACCCTGAACTCCTGTGGATCCGCCACTGCTAGGGCACCTCATCAATCCAGTACACCTCATAATGTCCTTATTGCTCAATAAAGAATATATAAATTTATTGCTTCTTCATGCACAAAATATGAGATGAAACTTAAAATATTAATAAATAAGGCCAAAGAAGTCCAGAAGTTATAGCTATGAATAACAAATCAATTCTTTGGTGAAACTGTGCAACTTTATACAAGTGATATGCACACATTTGCATAGAAAGCTTTGGATAGATTAAACCGAAGAACCTATTGCAAAAAAATAATATTCATCATTACTAGTTACATAATTATCTTCATCTCATTTTGTTGAATAATAATTGCAGCCACATCATTATGTTTATCATTTATATCTTGTAAATGGTGATACTAATAATAATGATGTTAAATATGATTATAAATAACAATTATAATAATAATGAACATAATGATTATTGTGATAAACGATGAAGATGATGACTGATAAAGTGTATGTTAAAAAGAAATATCTCTAAAAATCAATTATAATTATACAATATTATTATAACGTGCGATTACATTTAGTAGAAACAATAGTTGATAATGAAAAATAATACAGCTTTTAATATTAATTGTTTATAGTGCTTTAGTTTTAAAAATAAATATATTGAAAATTAAAAGGGCTAATTTTTGCAAACAGAAAATCATATTTTGTTAAATCTATTAAGATCAATAGAAATATTCAACTATCAACAACCAGATTGCATTCTCTATAAATAACATACAATCGGTCAATCATTTATATTATAAATTAAAATTACACAAATATGGTGCGAAATGTTTGAATTATTGCAAAAGCAAAATATACTATAATTAACCTAAGTATACACTATACAATTCTTAATGTATTGACATGTACAATATGAGTTGTGACTGTAAAAATAATTTCTTATAACGCCTATGATAACCATTCTACTGGCATCAGTCGTCAAGCTTAAATTCTTTACATTAAAGAAAGACTTTTAATAATCCATCTTGTAATTTCAACTGCACAAGTCTGTGTCAAAGGTAAAGGCATATAAACAAATAACCTAGCCAATCATAGAGCATGTAAGGAATAAATGTGCTAGTATGAATTCTGTCCACAAAGATATGCATTGTTTGTTTTAGTGCATGTTTATTATGGTCATTTATCACATACTTTCTTTTTAAAATTATTAGTAAACTTGTATTTAGTTCATTTTGTGTTTCTTTGTTAAAGTGGATTTGACTATACGGGTTATAAAGATTCTTTTCTCATTTAACTGTCCTTAACCATTTTTATCATGTAAATTGTGGTTAAATAAATAAATGAAATGAAATAAAATTGACCTTTGACACACAAATATGTATTTGAAACTATGTGAGGAATTACCAAACTTCTATTTCAATATTAATAGAAAAATCCTATGCCCAACTTTAGGAAAATATTACAAATGGAAAAAAAATATGAAAGACAATAAAACAGCTGATAGTGAAGTAAAAAGCAAAAGTTACCAGACACCAAGATTGGACAGAGTTTTGACAGGAATACATACACATAGTAATTTTACAGTGGCAAGCAGTGTATCTACAAGCAAGAGGTGCACTTGGCGGAACATCAAACAATTTGCTTCAGTATCCGTAGCAACATGCTGGCCTTGAATCTGGAAAACACAAAAAACAACAGAGTTATTTTCTCTTACAAGCATTTGGTATTGCAAAAAATCCAAATTTCCTGATCCTCAACTTCACTTAGAGTGCTATTTTAACCTGTTTTTCCAATGTGTAAACATTACTATCGAGTTTCTTTAGGTTAAAGCCCACACTCTTGTGTATAATATTAGTCTGAGTTAAACAGGGGTGGGGAGACTCTTTACCTAGGGACAGTTACTTAGGATCCTGGCTAGAACTTACAAGATATGCCATGAAGAATTGCATACTTACTTAAGAAGACAAACCAGCTCTCACAAAATTACACAATGGAATGGTCTCTTATGCGGTTTTACTGGTTGTGACGGGTTTTCATCTCGTTTAAACTTCCTGAAATGTTTCAGAAAAAAAAAAGATTTAAGTACATGATTTTATTAAGAAGATTATTGGGGAAAAAAAAAGATTTTAAGTGCATGATTTTATTAAGAAGATTATTGATAGCATGGAATGTATATTTCTTTTTTTACCTTATAATTCTCACTAGTTCATGAAAAGATTCGTCTACATTCTGTCTTGTCTTGGCACTGCATTCAATAAACTGTATATTCAAATCTCTAGCTAGTTTCTCTATATCTGTCTCTGTTACCTTAAATGAGGCAAAAATTTGGTTTTGAAAGTAAATACTTCCATTAAATTCATTTGCTTTCAAAAGATTAACCGTTTACCATTTTTTAAATTGCTTCAAGCAATATTTTTGGAGTTGCAATAAACAGCTTGGTGGTATAAGATGCCTGCCTTACAATCACAGGGAGCTAGGTTCAATTCCTGTCAATGTAACGTGATTTTTCTCTCATGACCATAAACAATTCCACTCCCTAAGCCTCAAAATGAGACTAGGTGCCCAATCATGCTTAATCACCTTAACTGCAGGCAGCTCAAAACGACCATTCTGTTCGCTGTTAGTATTTTAAGTCGGCTCAGAACCGAATTAGGCATAAGCATCATTAGGCAAGTTATTTTTCCAATGGGAAGACTTATTGATGTAAATAAGGAAACAAACCTGTCTTTGTGCTTTGAGATCTGCCTTATTCCCAACAAGAATCATGGGGAACTCTTCTCGGTCCTTCACTCGGAGAATTTGACGATGGAATTTGAAAATTTCATCAAAGCTAAAAGTAGAAATCCAGAAAAAAAGGATTGGATAAAAAAACACAATAGAGGATTTGATTGTAGGACTAATAACGATTTTTAAGTTTAAAGTTATAACTACCCAATTAGAGCCAAATAAATAGTAAAATCAATAATTTATTTAATTACCTTGTATGATTTAAGTAAGTTACAAGCATTCAACTGCAGATCAAAACAAACTACAAATTCTTCACCAATTAACTGGCATCAATAACATACAATATATGTTTTCTCTTTAGTTGAAGTTTTGTAATGAAATGATGTAAACTTGCTAAACCATTTTTGCATAGTCACTTATAAATCAGGTAATAATACATTATAAAAAAAATTATAATAAATAAGTAAATCAGCAAACATTATTTCAATCTAATTTGACGTATTCACGAAGTAGACTATGTTTATTATTAAGTTAAACATGAGTAGTCATACAGTAATTGTACTAACCTATTTTTATTACATAAGGAAAAAACCAACAGAAATCCGTCTCCTGTTCTCATATATTGTTCTCGCATTGCACTAAATTCATCTTGGCCTGCAGTATCCAAGACTACAAAAAAACAAACATCACATAATTATTGAATAATACAGATTACTATATACTGAATAACACAAATTAATATTTTCAAGGCATGTTTGAATGATATTACAAATTATTTCAGATTTTGGTTATAAACATAACAAACTTAACACATATCTTGGTTCCACTAGCAATACATAGGTCTCTGTGGATTACAGTAGTGGCTGATCCAGGAATTTTAAATACAACGGCCCGGGGAGGGACAGATGGAGGGTCTATAACCTCAGTCCCAACTATGGTTGGGGATGAGGAAAAAACATTTACGATTATGTCACCTCTAGATGACCGGAAATGGCATTCTCAGGCTTAAAATTTGAATGATTTTTTTTTCCCTCCAATTTTTACAATTTTGAAAAATTTAGGGGGGAGGGGCTGGGGGGACTGAACCGGCTAGCCGCTCACACCTTTAATCCCACACCTTTAAATCCCGTCGGAAACACATTTTTCTTAGAATGTAGGCCAACGACTCTCTGATATGTTAGTTCAACTTTTAAAGTCAGGTCAGATAATGACAAATTTTAAGTTAAATTAGGTCAAAGGAGAAATCTATAATCCTTCTGGGAAACAGAGACATCACAATACACGTACACAAAAAAAAATAAAACACAATAAAAACAACTGAGTTCCTTCTATAAAAAAAATTACCAGATCTCAAAAGCAGCACTTGTTTATCAATAATTGTTTTTGAAAAAATTAAAAACATGGAAACAATCTAACATTGGAATAAGGATGTATGATGTTGAAGTACTTCCAGGTCAGATTTATCTACTTCCTGTTGATTCAAGATTGAAAATAGATACTGCAATCTAAAACATCACACCATACTGCAACTACAATGAATTTCCCTGAAAGCTTTAAAACCCGAAATGTAATATGAAAATATAATCAAAATTTGGTACTTAAGGCCTGCACAACAAATATATTAAAATACAGTACAGTATGAGTACCGAATTCCAGGAAATAAAATCTGATTGATGTCAGAGCTACATGTCTCAATGGTACACCATATGACTACAGCTGTTAAAACAAACACCAAATCACTTTGACATACTTAATTTTATACCTCCTTGATCTGACACAACAAACTTTTTGGTAGCCCACTGACTTCTTAAGCCCATACATAGTCACAATGTGCCTATATATGGTCATGATGTGATGTCATCATGACCATATTTAGACATGTCACATGTTTTGACCAAATAAAATTTGATAGTCTGGACAAAATTAAAACTGTCATATGAGCACAATGTAAAATACTTAACATTTTCTAAATTATAAATTTTTTTATTCATAAAAACACATTTTATAAGAATATTGAGGCTGAAATTGCTTAAAAAATAAGAACAAAATACAAACAAATTGAGGTTGAGAAAAGCTAACAAATCTTATTTGTACCTTATGTGCAGTAGGTGCGACTATGTAATACCCTCTATAATAATATATCGTAATAATTTTCTATATTTGAAAAGTGTGTAAAATAAAAACAAAATAAGAACCTGAAATCAGAAAAAGAATAAGAACACTCAGCCTCACAAAAATTTTACTGGTTCTTACTACAAAAAGTGTATTTTTTCGATTCTCATTTCGTAGAACTTGTTTGTTATTGAAATTTTGTATACATTAAAAGTTTGACATAAATGCTGAATATTCTAATTTTACTGTATCTATAACTGTTTCAAATTAAAAGGTGAAACATTATGTAATAATCTGTAATGATTCATATGAATTACTCTCAACTAACAGCGAACAACATAGTGCTTGACACTTGGATAGGGAATCTCACGCACTTAACTGCAATATCTGGCAATGAGTTTCCTATTTGTATTGATCTCTAGATAGAACCGTTTCAATAATAAAAACAATATCTACTCCTCACACATACACAACAATATCCCTCATTCCCATAATGTAAAATATGAATAATTGTAGCATCAAATATATACAGTAGTTTCATACTGTTTGTTAACAAGTACTGTAAGCATCTATTAGTATTATATAGTTGTTATTTAAAAGTAACAAAGCTTCATTAATCGTTTTTCAGTTTTCTTTCATCTTGCTAATTTTAAATCTTATGCTTGTGTCAACAATTTTATTTTCAATTATCTTAACCCCCTTACCCTCAGCGGCTTTTGGCCTTGTTTGGGGTGACTGAACATTTTTATTAATATTATTTGAAATTCAAACTACAGATGACCGCTATTAGTAGGTACTTGAAAAATTACAATACAGGCTCTCAGCAGTATTTTACAGATTAAATTCATACTGATTGTGGTTATGGATTCTTAATGTAAGTATGTTAATATTAGTATTATTATTAAATTTATATTTTTAGAATGTTCAAAGGAACATATGGTTATGAATTTATTTAAATTTTCATTCACATCAAACAGTTGGCACATGACGATCGCCAATAACAGGATTTGAAGCGCTATAAACTTAGTCTCTTCATGAGGCTTTGGGAGTGGAGTTGTGAGAAAAAAATGCTGGTGTCTCTGAAGATGTAATCTTAAAACTCTGGGATTAAAACTAAGCATATAAAGTTACAATGCTACTCAACATATTGTACTATTCATTATTGTTGCTTAGTTTTGGTATCTGAAATTATATATGACATATTTTTCTATTGTAGTTAAGATATATAAACAAATACATTAATTAATAATTTAAATTTCTTTTTTTGTATAATATCCTATGTTTTTCTATTTTTAATATTACTGTATGTTTTAGTTTAATTAAATAAATATTCCAATAATTATTTAAAAAATTATACTTTACTGTTCATCGATTCCTTTTCACTGCTTTTTATGTCTTGTTTTCTTTTACTTTTTGTGCAGTGATGAATTAAATAATATTGTGTAATGGTGTATAATTATTAAGAAGGATAAAGTGGACAAAAGTATGAATTACTATAAATGTTATATAAAATAACTTTGCTTGTAGATGCTGATACTAAAACATCTGGAAATAGAGCAGTCAATAGAAGCATCTGGCTAGAGGATTATATTTAAGAACTCAACAACATCAACATATCCATTTTCATTATTACAGGACATAAAGCTGGCCTAGATGTGTTAACAATACTGTACAAGCAATAATTATGAGGGTATTAAAGAACATCAAAACATGTTTTTCCCCAAACAAAATCAGAATTCAGCGCCTTACAGTATGTTGGCTGGATTACCCTTACCAAACCTAGGTTGACCTGTGACCTACCCAGCCTCCTTGTTTGAATTTAACTCCTAATAAGGATAAGTAAATGAAACATAGGTCTCCCTCTGATTAAAGACCACCTCTAATTAAAGACCACCTCCAATTTATCCTTTTATTAAACTCTAATTAGAGACCAAATCTGTTAAAGACTATGGAAACCTCGGTCTCAAAAGTGGTATTTAATTGGAGGGAGACCTGTATATTGTATATGGAAAGGAAGAGGGAGGGGAGGAGGGGGAAGGCAACCTCCTGCATCTGTGTACAGGCCACCCACACAAGATACAGCAGCTTTGGCAGCCTAACCTTATTCAACATACAATTCCATATTTTTCTATGGAACATTTTGGGATCTGTGAAAGAATGAGTGACTGATAATACCAGCAAAGTTAATTCAGGACCCGATTCAAACTGTGGTTATAAATGCTCACATAGTCTCAGTTTCACGGAAATGCAGTTTGTAATAAATGTGAAAGAAATGAAAGCATAGGTTGTGGTTGTTGCTATGGAAACAACTTAATTTGTTTAAAATTACACAGAAAAATATAAATAGCATCCGAATTACTGGAACTGCTGAAAAAAACTATTTTTTTTCAATGCAATGTGGAAGTGTTTCTAGCAATTTCAGAAAATGAAATTTTAACAACCTTTGTAATGATTTTTTTTAAAAACCAGTTATGATATACATAATATACATTTTTTGTAACAATTAAAATCAATTATACTTTTATATTTTATGCCTAGAGTACAATTCCAATAAAACTGCATATAAATTTCTTCACGTTAAATTAGCAATTTTTAAAACCATGAATCTTTAAGAAAACAAATGTATTCTAAATACCAATCTTTACTTGGGGTTGGTTTGACATTTTTTATTAATAATTCAGTACTTACATTATATACATAATTTCAGCTTCATATGGTCCAACACTGCATTAAATAGATTAGCAAATGAACAAAATCAACTTACTATCTAACTTTGAAACTGTGTTATCAATTCTGCATTGCTTTGTATACGAATCTTCTATGGTGGGGTCATAGTCAGACACAAAATATGACTGAAAAATTTAAAAAAATTACATCATTACATTAATTGGAGATTTCACCATTTCTGGTTCATACATGAGTTTTGGTAAAATAGAAGTTTAACCTTAAACTAACAGCTTTATTCAATAGTACTGTAGCATAAAAAACTCAACTAAAAGTTCCGCCCCTTTGGAACATATGTCTTTGATTGCCACTCGCAGCATCTGGATCTATTCTCTCTCTCAAGGGAACACCCCTCGAAAAATAATAGAACAGTCAACTCCTGGTGAGTGAGGTTTATCCAGGCATGGAGGTGATCGAGGTAAGTATTCAAGTAGACTCTGGATCCGCCACTGCTGAACTGTGGTCAAATGAAATTTATTGGTCGAATGCATAAAAATTATACATTACATTACAGTGATTTGTTTTTTTCTTTTTCATTATTATTATCCTTGGTTATCATTCTTCTCTTTTAACTTTTGCTGCATGCAGATTTTTGTTAATGGCAACACATCTTGCATAAATTAAAATTCTTAAATTTTGTAATTATTCCAATTTTAAACAACATTTTAAAATTTTGTAGGCTCTTTTTTTAATGATTCACTTCAAGTTAGTTTTTTTTTTTTGGGGGGGGGGGTATTTGAACGTTTGCGTGGTTTGCAGAATGAAATTCTGTAAATCCATTTTTTAACGTTTATCTGTAACTTTCTTTATATTTTATCAATCTTTTTATAGCCTATTTTAATTTATTTATGTATTGTTTTTGCCTAGAGTGTGCTGTTTTGTAATTTATTGTATGTTTATTTGGCCAGGAGGGTTTAGAGGATACCCCCATTTTGTGTTGGGCTATCAGCCAATGGTGTCCTCTTAGCACCCCTCTGGCCATTTCCTGATTTTTTGCACCGAATATGTAATAAATTACAGGTACTAAAGTAGCAGTTCAGCATTTATCTTTCTATGCCTGTCAAAAAAGTAAACATCCTTAAATTCGCTTTTGACAATCCTTGCCATTTGTTTTTGTTCCTACGTTTACGAAGGTACATACTGCAAAGGACCTCAGGATCCATAACCACAGGGCAACAGAGACTACACGGACTAGAACACAGTGGTATAGTAACCCCCTACTCGTCTCGAAAGATATACTGGCTTCTTTAAATTACACATGAGGCAAATGTGTACACTGGGCCTACAGTTCATTATAGCCCTTATCCGAGAAAACTTGTTCCACCACCAGAACCATATTATGACTGTAGGTTGCGGTGCCCCTGCCATTTGACACACCTATTTCCATTTTTTTTGTTTCACCTTAGCACACTAAAATTGAATAAATCAAATAAAATCATATTCTTCATTGTAAATGTCTGTGCGGAAGTGCATGTATGTTTACATACATAAATGCACCGGATGAACACACAATCAACATTAAGTGAACATTTGCATCTGCCATTAAGAAGTAAATGTAAATGTACGACTCACTCAGAGAGCGTTAATGACCATTGCTGACCTTGTTTTCAGGGATTAAACAATAGCTAGAAACAATGAGTCATTTCATAATGTACTGGTGGTAAAAGCAGAATCAACTGAGGCAAGTTTGTACCACCTCATTCGCTATGCTCAGTGCTTAATTAAAATATCTTTAAGAGAGATAGTTTCTACTTTTTGTAAAATGTAATAAAAACACTTTCACAAGCTCATTTCCTTTACACAAAAACAACTACTGTAACTAATTATACTTGGAAAGCCAATCACTTTCGCATACCATCTCCTCAGAATAAACAGCAAATTCTAATTTTATTATCAACCCGAAATTTAGAACTTTCATTCTACTAACTTCGATTGCCCATAACTTCGCCATAAGCTATCATATCAAAGTGATTTTTTTTTTCATTTTTTAAGATAACAATGTCTAGTTTCATAACTCAATTTTGAAAACTTCAACTTATCCCTCCTTTGGCTTGGCTCGGCCACATATTATATAACGCACATGTTATACAAGTAGCCTTTTGTCCAAATGGTCTTATAATCACACGTAATCCAGACCATTTATAAAGCAGGCATCCGAAATACTGTGTTCAGAGTGTAAACGGGCACTAGGATTGATTACAGTACTGCTGTATCACAAAATACCTTTGAAGAAGTTAAATTAAAAACAAACGTTGACACAATGCTGGGAAACAGATGTGATGTCAGCATTCTATGAGTTGTTGCATAACAATGGAGCTATAGTGTAGCCTTAACCTACCATTATAAAAGTAGTACAGTATATTGCCCGAAGATGCTAAATAGATTGCCTACAGCCTGTAGTCATTCTAGTTAATACACTAATATTTAATAATGTCTAGGGGTACAGTATGGTAGAGATATTTTGGCAGAGCTCCTGAATCACTTTCATCCTTTTTTTTTATCAGGACTCCAGCCGCCCATAAAATGCCCTACCGTAAATGCAGTATGATACAGTAAACAAGCTTGTGCTTTGGCTAACCTACATTATGAACAAAATAAAGTTTATTGAAAATTTTCACTTTCTGAATTTGTAATATAATTTATTATGAATGTCCCTATAAACTAAAAATATAATAATTATTAACATTTTTACTTTCTGAATGTATATTTAATGTATGGCTTAAGGTCATCCAATATTTTCAACAAAAGTAAAGATCATAATGCACATTATAAAACCTCTTTCACTTTAGAAAATGCACTTTTTAAACCAAAGGAGATTTTTCAGTAAACTGCGAGTTAGTGCACACACGCTTGAAATTGCAGAAGGGGAAAAAGATTCACTACCCCAAAAACCCAAAGCTAAGACTTTGTACCCTATGAAAAAATTTTGAAATTTAAGATAAATTCCATTTTATAATTTGCTGCCACATTTACCATGATGTTAGAAACAAGCTCTTCACTAAACTTAAATTTATTCTTTCAACACATGTCATGGGTTCTGATGAGTATGATATCATCAAACCTGTCGTTGAATTTGTAGATTCTGCATTTGAAATGCGACTGCTCTTGAGGCTTTGACCTGAAGATGGGGATCGAATATGTTGTGTTCATCGCATTGACGTCTCAGGCTTTCCTTTTATGAACTTTTTACATTTATTTTCTCTTTTTCTCTTCTTTTCATTTTCATTGTTGTCTGTATTTTGATACCTTTTTGTTGGAGGTGATAGTCAAAGTGAATTGTAATTATAATTGATAATGAATGTCTCTTGTACTAAATAATAATAATAACAACAACAACAATAATATAATAATAACAGCATGTAAACTACTGACTCCGTTGTTTTTGCATGATAGTGAAAATGTTGTGACAACAGCGAAAACTCGGACTCAGAAAAACGAAGACTCTGAAAGGTAACATTTTCACTAATAATAATAATAATAACAATAATAATAATGAAATATTATAACAATAATAAAATACAAAATGGGCAGGCCTTGCTAGACCTGGTAATATGCCCATGTTTTACATCTAAAAGGCTTAACTACATGTAGCTAGACCTTCTTTTAGAGGAGGTTAGGTAGGGGGCCTACGCTTAGCCTAGGCTCTCCTAGCTAGTTAGGTCTATAGTTTAGTAGTAGTAGGCCTAGGCCCCTAGCCCCATTTTCTGTCTTTGCATTGCATAATTTAGTTGTACATTGCTTAGTAGATCCTACACACACACCTAAATTGAAACTAGCAAGTCTATAGTAGACCATATAATTAGATATTCAATTTACCTGAATAAACTGTATGGTTAGGGCGCTTTTGCCAACACCTCCTCCGCCTACCACCACCACTTTGTGCATCTGCTCACTCCCACCTCCATTAGCCGTCCCTCCGGACATTTTTGGATGCTAGGCCTAGGCTAGTCCATCAAAACCATGAAAACAGATTACAATGTTTTAATTCTTTGAGTGGTCCGTTTACTGAGGGACAGACTCCTTTAAAGTATTTTACTACTCCAACGATTATTAATATAAACTTGTAGTTTCACCAGGAAGAAGAAAGTTGGGACTGTGATGCTTATTGCTACAGCGCAGACGACTGGATCTGCGTATTGAGAAACCGGAAGTTACAAGGAAATTACACGCGTATTGGAATTACATCATGGATTATACATAAGGTGGTACAAATTTGTAAACAATACCCTTAACTTCGCAGAACTCGATGGCAAGTGGTAATAAATTAACTAAACAATAATATGAATGATGTTTATTGATAATAAATATGTGAACCCCGATAATCGAATAACATCGTCGTTCGATCTCCTCTCTGAGTCTGAGATAACGCATTCGGATGTCGTATGCATCCGGAATTAATATTCCATAATCCTTCGGTTTTGTTTTTTACTGTGTCGATTGTTGAATAGCATGTCTTTAACTCTCCACTCTGACAGCCACGATCCATGAGGCCCTACCATCTATGCAGGCAACCAACCAACCAACCAACTACAGTTAACACTAAACCAACCAAGGAGTGAACCTACCAACCAATTAACTAAGCAACAATACCACCTACCGGCTACCAATCAGCAACCACAACCAGGACAGTTCCAATAAATTAATCAATCATATCAATTAACGAACCATCCAATCAATCAACCAATCAATCAATCAATCAACCAGTTCATCATCACTTTACTCAAGAAAAATCTAGAATCAATCAATCAATCAATCAATCAATCAATTCATCATCACTTCACTCAAGAAAAATCTAAAACGAATAAGAAATATTGCATCACATCCGGTATGACATTGAGAAAATGAAACGACCTCGTATATCTTTGCTAGATAAGCTATTGAAACGATGATATGACAATAAATATATGCCATTTTATGCACAATCGCATGTTAATGTTGGATGAATTCTTCATAGATCAAATAAAAATAATTTTTATTTGGCATATTAATATTACGATATTGTCAATTGTTGTTAGGCCTATATTTATTGTTATTAATAATAATATTTATAATAATAATAGTTTTTATTATTATTATTATTATTATTATTATTATTATTATTATTATTATTATTATTATTATTATTATTATTATTATTATTATTATTATTATTATTATTATTATTATTATTATTATTATTGTTATTGTTATTGTTGTTGTTGTGATGACAAATGCTCATTTAGATGGTTGGAATATGATCGTGATAGGTGAAGCAACCTCGACCACGAAAGCGTGGTTGACAGATTTCATGCAAAATTTCCAAAATATAGAATTTCCAAAATATAGAATATAAAGATGGTTACATTGCATACTCTTTATTTCTTGTTTCATTCAAAATGTTTTGGTTTTGGAAGCTGATTTCAACATTAGAAAGCATAGCCTACATAAAGTCATATTATAGTAACTCGATGCCTATCAAATAGTTAATAAAAATTCGCCATAGTTCATCAAATATCCGTGGCTGCTTCCACTTATGTGGGGCCTAGGTGGCCTGGCCCCACCCAAGTGAGACTCAATTCGTTCCACTAGCCCCCCCCCCCGCCGGGGCCATTAGCCCCTCCGTCGGGCAGGTCCTGGCGCCACCACTGCACCGCAATGACATTGACATAGACACTAAAACTTTTGGACCAATCACTGAAACAAAAGAATAATTATGATAATTGGAAATTCTTGAGATTATTTCTTACAACTTTAGAGCAGATTTTTATAGAGGGCGGTATGTATATGTGATACTTGATCAGAAGAACAAAACATTTAGTGCAGCGACGCCGAGAGCTAGCAGAAAGGAGCGGACCAATTAAGGTCATCCTAATTATAAAAATGACCACAAGAAACAAATAATGCAACTGGTATGATACGATTTCTGAATGAGAGGGAAAAGAGTAAAATTATCTCTTATATCAATTTGATATTATGCCTACATTCGCGTGTGGATTTGCTCATTATTGTAACAGATTGTACAGAGATATGGAGAGACGATGATCCATGCTGTGCTGAGCTATAACCTTTAACATAAAACATGTAAATTATTAGCTTTCAATTGAAAAGTAGAAACTAACGCAACAATATTTACCGTTTCCATTTGTGCATAGTACGCTTGGAAATATATCTGTTTGTTTTCAATGAGCTAAAAATATCCATAGGCCTATTTGTCTATATTCAATTAAGTTATTACGGTATTTTGTGCCAATTAATAACATACGATCGTTGCATGACCATAGGCCATTCTATTGACTGTAAACTATTCTGTCTCTCATTGTAAGGTGATATTATTCGATTCTTTTAAATGTTCAATTTAATTATTATTAGATGTCTGCTTTGTATTGTCATCACCAAAAACAATGTAAAATGTTTTTGCTGCAACTAGTCCATAAAGCGACTCGTACTGAATTTATTTTTTCTGCGTCTCATTTAAATATTTTACACATTCTTTTACATTTTAACATCATAATCATCATCCTCATCATCATCATCATCATCATCATTATCATCATCATTATCATCATCATCATCATCATCAACATCGCCATCATCACCAGTAACTTCAATAAACCTCTTGCGGCATAGCGTTAATAAGATTTCTCCAATCGGAGTGATTGTTAGCCAGTATAGACAACTCCTATATTTTATTTTTTTTAGTGTCCTTCTCAATTGTAGGATATTTATTCATGTTTCAGTAGTCCTCTTGGTCGCTTGACTTTCCATTGATTCGGATGGAGCTCTTGCGCTGGAATATTAGGGCCCTGGTGAAGAAGGTGTCTACATGACACCAGGTCAGACGTCTTCCATTTATTAGGACGGGAAGACGGGCCAACGGTGGTTTTGTGCTCATCAGAGCGTGAAGGCCACGGTAAACAATAGGGCGATTAACCCGAATTTCCGTTGTCGAAGGCTCCCCATTCTCTTGCGTAAAGTACCTGTTATCGCTACCTCAGATATCAGGGATCTACTACCTCAGACAATGATATTTTCTTTAGAATTACTCAAATATAAGGAAAGTAAATAATATGTTGAATTTATGAAAGATTTCTAATATAGGCCTAACTAATGATAGATAGCCTACTTAAACTAAAAGGTAAGAGTTCGTACCAGTAGGTAACTAATCCTAATAATAATTATAATATTTATACCGATTATTATTTTTTATCGAATATAAATTTTAAAAAAAATATAGAATACAGAATACAGAACTTTTATTGGTCTTGAAAGTAAAACATACAGTACAAGAAATTACTTCGTTGTTAGCAAACCATATACAAAAATACTACAAAAAACATTAACATATTTAAAAAGGTATACAGTATTCGAAAAAAATACAAAATATACATTCGGTTAGTTACTGTAATCATTACAAATATTACGTAAAATAGTAAATACAGAATTAGTTGTATTGCACTTCAGTTAAGAGTAAAAGAAGCGTAAAATCAGTTAATATTGCATTATTGAGGTATGGAAATTTATTGATATAAAAGCAGTACTGTATATATTTTAAAATTCATAAAAATTAGTAAAAAGGTATAATTGCGCGTGAGATATAATATTATAACACTAACACTAATATATATTTGAATAATTGAATTAATCATAAAAATAAAAAAAGTTAGAAATATTATCAACTTTTTCGCCTCTTGGTGGCGCTAAAGGACTTATCACATGATGGTTTTATCAAGTTTGCTCTGCAACAACAGTAGCTTAAGACGATCAACCACACGGTGATTTATTACTGTGCATGCGTGGCTATTCCATTAATTAAAATCAGTAATTCTGTATCTTTCGTAGTAGGCCTACTGTACAGTAATTGAATCGACTCAATCTAACATTGTTTAAATAACGGTCTGAGATATTGAACAATCGTTAAAATGATTTAAAACATAATAAAATCATAGAAAGAACAATTTGATATTATAATTTTGTATATTTTCATTCTGCAGCACTGACATCTTTTGAGATCCAATCCCACATTTTATCAAATGAATGGAATCACCTATTTCGTACTTTGTTATCACCATGCGCTGGATCGGCGAGTGGTAGATGTCATGTCACTGTGTCAAAATTGCTCAGTTCTTTGAGAAAAAAAATTGAGACGGATTGCTCTGTATAATAGGCTGGTGAACGCAACAGGTATCAATCGTTGTAATAGTGATTCTAAACTGGCGGCCTGGAAGAAGACAGGAACGTATATCAGAAGTTAGTTGAATTAAATTATTGATGTGGAAGTTACGCCCATGTTATTTAGTTAGCAACAACGACAACGTTTTTCTGGAAGACTAAGTCGCAGGTTTGTAACTTTATAATACTTTGGACCTTTCCACCGTAGCTGGTGGTGTGCAAGGACACCGTACTTAGTCGCTAAGTATTGAGACACTGTACTGTATCTCTACGTAGGCCTACAAGTTGTGCATTAGTGCTTATAAAGTGTATCGTATAGTGTTGCATGACTATCCCGCAAGTGTGTTTGTGCTTTTTCTGATAAGTTCACAAATCGGACGGCATACAGCTACTACGAGGATCATACGGTAATCTTTGCATCCTCTAAAAAACTATAGAATTTTAACTACGGTATTTAAAGTTTTAGGACTATCGTGTTTACTAGTACTAGAAAGTGTGTTCTTGAGGGCTATCAGGGCTTAGAAGCTCTCTGGTGCACTCTGAATAGATCTCTAGTTCTGAAATTATACCTTAAAAATGTGTAGCTATAACAGGAACGATAGAATTTTCGATGACTTGGACATGATAAAATATAGAATTCCGAAGGACTATATCTTTGATTTATTTTCTATGGTATAGGCCTAAAAATGAGATGAAATCACCTGAAAGAGGGGTAAAACCTTGAATTTTGAAGAAATTAAAGGTCATTAAAAGACACCTCAGAAGTCTGGAAAGCTCATTTCAGGCCATCTAGGAATCAAAATTTTTGTGTTTATGGGAAAATGAACCCCCCTCTTTCAAATCCTGGATCCGCCCCTGTACCACATCATAAGGAAGTTTCAGTAATCAGGAACTCATGCAAATGCTTTTTTCAATCATAATTTACAACCTTAGTATAGTATTTGCTATAATAATATTATACCTACCTGTACCTGCAGGGCTTGAAATTAAGGGTTATTTGGTCGCATCTGCGACCTGATTTTTTAAGGTGCGACAAGGAATTCAACTTTGTCGCGCTCAGTGCGACAAGGTCATTTGATAGCGCGAGTAGATTTTGTAAGCGGCAGGAAGGTGGTTTCCCTCCAAATCCCAATTATTTACAACTTGTACAGCCTATTATTTTCAGTCAGGCAGTACGCAAAACATGTTATCATTCATTTTACATGTACTGTATCAACCAATCAGCATGACCTAGACTGTTAAAGTGTGACGTCGTACACTAAAACCATGTCGATGTGCGCTCATCTTATTCTTGTTAAATAAGCGATCACCATCAAAGCGAAGGAGACTGGTATAAAAACATCGGATTGCACGATTTTTTACTATTTTATTGAGTGCTACTCTTACCTGTACCTCCTCGTAATTGTGAACGTTTCCTTAACGTATTTGTTCATAAAATAGACTATGTACTGAAATTTCAAACAATTGTATACAGTATTGACTCATACGATGAAAACGGCCCAGATCAAGCAATAATCAAAATTTAACTCTAAATAGATCGTAAATAAATACAATTAGGCATCATCTGGAGGATTATATTCAAAGTACTACCGGTATTAAGGCAGACATCTTTTATTGAAAACCAAACGAATTACCTAAACCTCATACATTATGAAATAACATTACGCTTTTTCAATCACATGGCTGATGATAACAAAGGGTATAAAATACTCTTTGATGATAACCTCAGCTAGACTTCACGGAGCAGCTATAGTTTAACAACATCTTGAAATTTAGGGAAAAAAAACAAACAAATAGGTCTCACAGCAAATTTTGAAACCTAATTAAATGAAATATTATAGAAAGCAACACCTTTACTACCATTTATTTACTGAACGAGCCAGTCGGCTTCTGACCTACTTTTGTTCGTATCGGCGGCGTACAAAGAGTCAAATGACTTTGTGTCTGGCAACCTCGGTGTCTGTGTCTACCAGGAGGAGCCTGGAATTGGGAACGTTTCTCAATGAATGTAGTAGATGGTAAGCAGAGTTATTTCATAGGCAACTAGTAATGGGCCTCTATCAAACAATTTATTTCGTTCTTAACAAAGTATCAGCAGAAAGTAAGCAAAATGATTGTTTAATCGTGTTTTGAAATAATATAAAAATTGAATA